GGTGAAATTAAAAGTAATACAGTAATCCAGACCTCAGGCGGACGTCTTGTACATAGATAACAAGTGACTCAATCGAAATCCTTGTTTCACATCTCTAACTGCTTGTTGACATGGATTTCATCCAAAGTTTTGCCATTTTAAAGTTAATGAACTCAGTGTACAATGCAGGAGTAAAAGTGGAAATCCTGCAAATACTTGAGGGATTACCAAGCCGATAGCGCGGCTTAATAAAAACGATCCATGTCCAATAGACCAATACTAATCAACTCGTTGATTTTTGTACTTATTTCGATTAGCCGGTATAATACATGGAGTGAATATAATCCGGCCTTGCTTGCACTGAATAGCACGTGCCATTGTTGCGAACAGCGGACGTTATACTGAAATATTTTTCAACAATAAGCGGCACTCTTGAATATAGTTGCTGTTTGCCGTAAATTAAACTGAGCAGAATCAAAAAGCAGTATCGAAAATCGAACATCAGCGAATTCCTTTTTAGACGAACTTTCTTAAGTCGACCCACTTAAAATGAATCGAAACGAGAGAAAAATGATCAAAAAGCAAATGAACAGAGTGGTACAAGAATTTACATACCAATTTTCCAGAAGGTGGTCGTTTCATAACTAACTTCACGCACTTTGTTATTAGTCACATTTGTCATCAAACATGACGACCAACGCGCGTCCCTGGAAGCGATTTCCGGTGTATGGGTCACAACCGTTTCATCACATTCAACACCCAAATAATGATTACTATGAAAATCTCGCAGTTGTTCGGACAAATCGCGCAATTTTATACGGGATGATTTTCCTAATGAAGCCCAGCGTATGCGCTGCGGTAAACTGCGGATAGTTTTCCGGTCGGGTATCTTTCCCATGCCGGTATGTGTGGAGATAGAATTAGCCATATTTGGATCGGATTGATGCGGCGCACGTGCGAGATTAGCCAAATCGCAATTTAGAAAATAACACTTTCTCAAAATTAAAACCATAGATCAATACATGGTGTGTCAAAATAGATGAGAAAGCAGTCAAATATTCGCATTGCATGCGTATAAAATCGATGCGACAATGTGCCATGACCCGTGGGAAAAGATGAAGGCGTAGCACGGTAAATGTACTGGATCGAATATGCCCTCGCTATGCTTGCTGACACTGATTGCACCTGAATGTGCAGTGCAGTTTTGCCTTTCTAAAGAAGTTTAGAAATTTCTCAATTTTACCATTTACATAGACGTATCCATTGGTTGACTTAAATTATTTCTTTAAGTTGAAACTGCTGGTAAGTGCAAGATGGCACCGGGTGTTATATACACAGAGACAAATACAGCAATTGTGAAGACTTGAATATGCCTATATTTATCACTTCGGCTATCGGAATTGCGAAGAGTAATTCAACCAGTTTTACTTCAATGAATATCTCTTTCCTTCCTATCATGCTACCGTCAATTGTAAAGCTCAAGCAAAAGCTTGACATCAATGTGAACATTGTATTTAAGTTTGTGCTAGTGCAGATGAAACCGAAAGTTGCGGTCTGGTTATTGTTACGATTGACATCAAAAGTAGAAAGAATGCGAATTCCCAAACTCTCAAGCTGGTGCAACAGTACGGATTTGATCGTAGACTAGGTCAACGTAAAAAATAGGGCACATCTGCTAAAACCGATGGTTGATTGCAGGTGCAACACCGTATTGCCAGCATACTTTAAAATAATTCAAAACAAATTTCGGCTAGGCAAAAACTGTTACGTAGTGAAATTCTTTCGGATATAACTGTCTCACAAAAGGTTGCAGTAAACTTTGCAATCTGAATTTATAGAATGCAAAGAGGTACCATAATTTTCTAAATATTTTTTAAAGCTAACGTGACAAATTAATAAAATTATCAAAATGGTGATCGCGTTTCTATCAGCAGTCTGCATGCCTAGGCCTACATGGCATTTTTTTCTCAGCCTTGGTACTGTATGTTTATTATGAAATTGAGATGTTTTTTGTTTCCTTTGTAGGCTGGGTGGCTCTACTTCATGGGTACGCTTCTCCTGCATACAAGCGCAATTGTGCAGTTAATACAATAGAACAGCGTCTGTGTAATAACACCTGACTCCAGGGTTAACCAGTTTTTCACGATGCATCACTTTAGTTTGCACATGCTGAAGTTAAAATTTACAACTTTCTTGTTTATCAAAGTGAGGCGCAGCATGGGCAAAACCGACAAGAAGAGTAGAAGACTGCAGAAAGAAAACTAACTCGCATGGGCATTGTCCAAAAAGGTTACGCTTTCTCATTTTTTAAGCAACAAATTCAGTGGTATAGTTGAAATTGAACCAAAACTGCATGCCATGTACTTCAGATTGTATTTTGTATTATGCTCAAATATCGCGTGCTAAGCAAAATGGATTATCTTCACTTAAATTACATACGTGGTCACAGAAGTTAAATCTAATTCCTTGTAAAAACTCAATGCTATCATGTATTTTTGTTTTGAACGAAAGGGGAACATTCTCGTACAGGATAAAAAAGTTCATCTTGCAAAACGTTGGGTTACAATACAGATGCAAAACACATAATCGCTATTCTTACTACGCTTTATGACTGTCCGGGGCCGAACAGCTTAACAATTAATTAACCATAATTCTATCTACACTTTCACTGTGCATTTCTGTTTTGCGAGACCAACATAATTTTATACCTGCAGTCGTCAGTTGTATGTATTAAATAGCATTTACATATCGTATTCATATCAACAGTGCGAATTCCACGGGCTGCATATAAACAAACTACTGAAGTAATTCAGTTACCATTAGAGCACTAATTACGCGTCGTTTGCAAAATAAATATATTACATTATTACCTGTTCGCGTTTTCCTATTCCATGATCGATATTTAAATACTTCCATGGTTTAGCGCATACAGAGTATATGGTCGCAGTTGGTTTTTTGAACTAAAAATCCCGCGAAGCATGCAGTACTCGAACTACCACTTGCTCCACTGGCTTCCCAAAACAATGAACCGGCATCGAGAGGGAAAATAAAATCAATCCATCATAAAACGCTCGAGCCGGGCCCCGGCGATCTGCACGCCGGTATGTTGACAATATAAAAATGCCGCAGCAGCCAGTTTATTAGTTTTTTGGCACCACCATCAATTCAGACGGATCCGACACCTCACCGCAGCACTTGACTAACCAAAGCCACACACATACACGACGGAATGCAGTTGGCAGCTTCCTTACGAATAATGCAGCGTGCAGTGCACATATATCACATATACGCAACGGAAAACAAGGCCGTTCCTTTTCGGCAAGCAATCTCGGGAACGCAAATCAGCGCGTCCAGTGCGTGCTATGCATCTCGAGTATTGCGTAAAATGCGTGTATATTGCCGTGTTCGTTTGACGAGTGGGAGAACATTCCAAATATACATGAACAGTTAAAACCAGTTAACCAGCGGAAACGCTACACTCCGCGTGCACTGCTGCGCGCTGCAATGACCATTCAAATCGACACCGAGAGGTACTGTTTTAAGTGATACAATTTTCCAATGCTGTGCACAGGTGAATGTCACCGGTTAAATGGTTGTAGTGTGTGCCGCTGTGAAAACACTGCGTTTTTCAGCCATCGAGACCGAGAGAACGACACAAAAACGGAAACCGGTCAGATCATCAAAAGCTAAACGGGTACCATGGGAAATAACGCAAATGATGTGTTGCACGCGCCAGTTCACCCATCTGTAAACCGCCAGCGTTGTATCTAACTTGAGGGCGACGGAGAAGCACGCATAACACTGGCCAGTCTATAAAAGTTGCTACTCCTTTTTAGATGAATAATCGGATCTGGCAATGAATGCAAATAACTTTTGACATTTGACAAGCCCCGTCCATGTGCAACCGCGGACATAAGTGATGGGATGGGGAACGGAAGAGGAAATGCTTTGAAAAACGAGCAAAACTGCCGCTTTACATATACTCCGCAATCCGCATATAAAACTCGACCGACTTCTATTAACTGAACGCATAGAAGTGCTGCGCGATTATAAAATAAGAACTGCGAATAATTATCATAAAAAAGCAGTGGCTTCTTAAGGTTTATATGAATGAGCAGTGGCGATTAGCGATTCGTTCAAATTTACAATATCTTCAGCTTAAGAGCTTGACTGACAATTAACTACTATCAATCTTGTTTAATTGTTTTTGCTGTTGCTCCACAGGTTATTAATTGTATCTGTACACCAGAATCAGTTTGTAAAATGTGAGGATCAGAGCGCCTGCACAGAGCATTGCCGCGGCAATGGCTGCACTGCGCTATAGGCGTAGCCGTGTAAATCGACGCCGGGCCAACTTCCACGCACTAGTTGGCATAAATAAAGCGGTCAAGAGACCGAATTCACGGATTATGCAGATTCTCAAAATTGTGCAAGATTGCATTACATAAAGCAGACACACGAAAAAGGTGCGTCGGTATACTGTACGTGCAATTGCAAAAACGTGTAGTATAAGACCAATGGTGACGTCCACCGGCAAGGGCAGTGCCGTCCAGCTAAACGCTGTACATCATATTTCATTGTTAGCTGAGATGCCTGAGATTTTGATTGCAGCTGTTGCTGCAAGTGAATTAAATTTATCTTATTCCATGACACTGCCCAAGCAATATTCCTTAAATATGTAAAATTCAGAAAATGTAAAGAAACATCCTAATCGAACCGGGAAGATTTGATACCTTACGAATTCGAACAATTTAGTACGGTATATGATTATTATTATTACATATTATTATTATAGTATTTTCTACGTACAGTAACTGCGTACAAGTCTGACCGGACCGATAGATTCGTTAGTTTCGTAATTGCACACTCTGTCGGAAGTTCATGATAGTTTGGAGATCTTTACTATAACTTCGGCGATTGTGAGCTATGATAGATGTTATATTTGGAGTGGTGTATCTGTTAGTGTTATCTATCCCGAAAAAGCCGCACTAGAGTTACCTACGGTTGAGCGTTGTACGCACCCGCTTCAATGGTTTCTCCGATGTCGGCAATTTCCGGAATAGCATCTCCAGCTGGAAAGGGTCCTGTCGACGAAGAGTGAGAAAAGCAACCAGTAAACATGTTTGGCAATACAAGCGTAAAATCCGCTAATATTCCAATCGCCGCTGGTCAATAGCTCTGCATTAATAATGTGTTTAACTCATCGATAATTAATTATTGCAAAGCATGACTGCCATCTCTCTGAAAACTTCTCTATGGATGTCGGACGGACAAACGTTTCTCTTAAGGATTCCCGGATTGCAGCATCATAGTGTATCATGGAGAAGTTTACACACAATGTAAAAGATTTTCAGCTGCATGTGCGGAAACCGGCAGGATAGTAAAAGCTATCATTAGACTCATTGCGGTCAAACTAGTGTTATAACTGTCAGCAAACATCGGAGAGAAATCCCAGAAATATGCAGTAATCTTCTTTCGCTGATCATAAAAACAGGCTTTAAAAACAATATGCAGAAAAAGCCGACAGCCGCGTCTGATGAGATCTGTATGTGAGAGCGCAGGGGCTTATTCCATGGAGCATCGTTAGCTGACAGCTTGTAAATTTTGCAGTACACCAACAACTGTGATGACATTAATAACATTAGACAAGATGGGCTCTTGCGCGCTCTCCCTTTAATGCGGGCCAGGGTGAGAATCATTGCTTGAACAAATAAAACTCACCAGATGACTCACCGGAAAATGTGGTTGTACTGTATGGGGAGAATGACTTAATCATCCGCCATGGGATGACCACTGGGAAATGCAGCACTGCTACGCATGCATGACATTATTACTACCGTTTCCGGTTTTCGGTAGTTTCCAGTAAAAATGCTTGAATTGTGTGACTGCGTGTAGCGTTGCACCTGATGTACAATACTATTATGTGTTCTGTATAGATCTTGGCATTGCTGGGAGTAGTATAATATCTGTATAAACACTTTATTAGTAAAATTTACTTGCCAGCAGTTACTACAACTACATCTGTACAACTAACGCCGAAGTGCAAACGAAGCATAAACGAAGCATTTAAAAAATGAATATTGTTATAGCAAGATGAATACGAATTTCTGTATATATGTCTCATAATGATTAGTTGGACAACTTGTTATTGCCGCACTTCCTTACATACACCGACAGTAAACAATAACGCAAAAACACAACGAGTATTATTACGAGTTTTTAACATGCGAGTATTATGCTATACAGTAAACTCTGTGAGATTGAACAACTGCGAAAAATGAACAACTGCGAATATTGAACGCCCGTGTAGGAACCGGCGCGTCTCGTACATGTATACTGCAAAAGCTACTGCGAATACTGAACAGCTTGTTATATTGAACACTTTTGAAGGAACCGGAGGTGTTCAGATTGCACAGGTTTTACTGTATAATTGTTCTGCTTAATTTATTTTTAATTACGATAATGTACGCCAAATAAGCTTAGCTTTATTTAAATCGCGCTAGCGCTAGCTTTGCCAACCTATTGCAAGCCGAAAACGATTGATCTTGGCGATTAAATATATTCTGACCGGTCACGAACCCGTCCATCTACCGCAAAATAGCTCTTTCGTGACATTTCAATGTGTTTTTAACATGGCTATCACTTTGCTTTGCAAAATCATCACATCAGCATTTAAATTTAGAAGTTGTCAGCTAGACCGGAAAACGTGAATTGACTGGTCATCGGTCGCATGGTCCCGACCAGACCACCTTTTTTTGGTGGGAAAAATCCACCTTTTCCGCCCACCTCCCTTTTGGTGGAGGTGGGGAGTTAAAGGTGGTGGACACGTAAAAGTACGGGCGGAGGTGGGAAAAATTCAAAAGTGGGAGGAAAACGGCCCACATAATATTATTTTCAACTAATAATTCGAAAAATTCGCGCGCGGAATTATGTTTATCAGTGTCACTTTTGGTGACTTGAGCACGTAAAAAATTAAGTACATTTTAATCACGTGATTTCTGTACTATTTTTTAAGTGCAACACAAGCCAAAGATGCAATAAAAACTGACGAAAAATCTTTTTAAATCTAGTGGGCGGGCGGGTGGACAGTGGAAGCATTTATCATTGGCGGGCGGAGGTGGGCCATTTTTTTAGCGTGGTGGGGTGGTGTGGAGTGGAAAATTTGTGGGGTTAGGTGGGGTGGGTGGAAGGTGGAAAACGCAAAGGTGGCCCAAGTCTGGTCCCGACTCCTGGTAATCGCTGGTCAGTTGCGCGTGATTGACAACGGCATTCTGTTGTGAAGCCAGTTGTTTCCTTAAAAGTGCAGTTGCACCCAGTCATATTCTTCGATGTGAAGATCAAAGAATCTTGGGCAGTTGGAGAATATTGAACGTGTATACATATACCCTTCGGCAAAGTATTGACCATCCTAATAAATTCTTACATAAGCAATTTCACAAGGCACTTATGTTGCAGAAAGTGCCGATATATCAATATAGTGCGCCTATAACAGATAGCGAAATCTCATAAAGCCAAATACAGTTTAACGAGGCTTCAGATAACTGTAAAGGCTGCTATAAAAGCTGTTCAGTATTTCCTATCTTTTCACACTTTGAGTGCGTAGGATGTAAGAATACGATGCAATCCTACGGTTAATATAGCCGATGCTGATCAAGGTCAATACTGCTCAAAAGTAGCAGACAGTGTAGACAGCTTGATGATGCAACAATGGTGATAGCGATATTAATTTTGCGACGTTAATAATTTCGAAAAACTGCTACTTGCAAGTGGCAGGTTGTGCCTCTTGGTATAAGTATAACGAGCTTTGCAGAGCTGCGATTGCTATGAAAATGTAACAAAAAGTCGCTTAATTTTCACATACCTGCTGAGTACTGCGTACAGTGGATGGACACTTTTCTGTGTTAAAATACCGGTACTAGAGAAGTTCTGCACAATCGATTTATCCGTTATAAAAATTAAAGCAACGGTCTACGAATCCAGTATAGACTGTCCAACATTAACTAAGAAACTAGCAATGGAATGGAAGAAACATTAAATGCACTGCACCCACAATTTAGAGGAAATTATTATCCTTCTGTTCCAAGCGAATATGCATAAATACACCTTGTGAACCACCTGTGACACGTGCCACATACACGGTAGTTCCAATACTGCAATCTAATCTTCTGACTAAATCATGCGTATCCGCAGAGAAGGGGCAGAGAGTTGTCCTGAAGTCGTTAACAGAGACATCAACGAGAGTCCTTGTTCCCGCCCTGCACTTCATCCACACCCGGCATTCTCTCAAAGAAGAAAAGCCAAAGCGACCACTATAATCAGACCAGCAGTCCCCTGTTTCGTATATATACAAGTACATATTATACCGCATATAGATATATACGCCGTCTATATTTGTTATCAGATTGATTCTGCAGATTATATTCAGAGGAGACTACCTGCCACGCGCTCATAAAATTTTCAAGATATCCCCCGCCGAGTAGGGCGCCGGTTCATAAACTGAATAAACAGCAGATGGTGCGCTAATAAAGCGCGCTACTTATTGTTAGGCAGAAGACTGCTGAAGAGGCAATGCTTTACAATAAGTACCGATATTGGAACCGGCAGAATGTTGAAGAAACCGTTAACGAGCAGCCTTTACACCAGCTGGCGATTAACTATAGTGTCAAATACAACTTACTTTCAAAAGGCCAGATTTGTCGGATAAAAGCCATTAGCGCATCATAAGCCATAATGCACTTAATTTACCGGTTGCTCAATAAAGAATTACGGCGCCGACACGCAAAACGACACCGGTCAAATGGCGAAACACAAAAATCGAACCGCGTTTTTAATTTGCGCGCTTGACTACATTATGGATTATCGGGAAGAGGATCCTGACCCGGGAAAAGTCTAAGCAGAAATTGCGGTGAAGTGGTGGAAAAACACATAACGAACGCGCTCGATCCTTGAGTGCATGAATAATGTGTAACCAGAACATGCACTGCACATTCCGCGCTCGCGCAAAACTACTGCAGGAGAAACATCGATTGACAATGCAATTTTTTCCGTTCACTCGGGTGTGATGCGTGGTGAGTTAGTGTGTAAGTGTGTCCACACAGGAATGGTTTGAACTGATTAATCCCAGCTATTCGATGGTTGTTTAATTCCCAAGAAAGGGCTTCCAACATCCGTTAAACCGAGGATCTTGTACATTGCCGAAAATTACGGATTGTTCGGCTAACTCATTAGGCTGACCATTGATTTAAGCGACTTTAAATGGGGATTTTTCGCCCGAGCCTGTAGTTGTGCTGGCGATTTAATGACGTTGATACAACAGTTGATGAGGTTACTTCAAACAGAATAAAAAGCGATTGTACCAACGTGGCAGCGTAGAGTTGTTTGAACACAATTGCTTATTCATCAAGCTGTGCGCTTATTTTGTGGGAGTTTGTTAGCCTTCTGCCGACAAACAAGCTTAACACTACACACACAATGACACAGTTAAATTACATTAGGAAGAAAACGAACAATATCTGTATGGAATACGGATTTCGTTGCTCTGTTGATGGAGCGCAACTGTATACCTACCCTATGCATGCGGCACACATACTATATCTACACAATGTTTACGAGAAACCATATGAACCTTAAAGATTTCCAAGGTGAATAGTTACACAAAAATTAATATATTTAGAGAGAAACAGCTATCCGACGCCGCTGAGTTGCAACAGACTGACCATACATCACGGCAGATCCATAAAATTTTGAAAGATGTTCGAACATGTGTTCGAACTATTTGTTTGTTTATATTATTGAGCGATCACCTAAGAATTCGTAGAAAATTACGTATAGCTTACGAGCGGTTTGTTTGGAATAAAAATCTGTTTAATAAAATATTTGTGCGTAATTGGAACACATCCGTCAGCAATTTGATATGGGAACTGGTGCATGCGAGAAACATTTTGCTGCTTCCTACACATTCGGTTTGTACAAGTATGCAGTTTTTTGCTGTAGTATTCGTAAAAGTATGGCCGTGGAAAACACGGATTGATCCAAGTACATGCTCGTAAACGGCGAAAGTCAACGCGCTTGTAATTAATTAACTGTGCGACCCCGGCAAATCTGCCATCACCACAATGATGAAACGGTCAACAAGCGTCAGCAACAACACTCATCTGCAAATTGCGCCAGGCGCACATTTCGCATTTTCGCACACATCCAACAAATTATTTTGGAATTACATCCGCACATTATTACGCAACTCACAGCGGGACGCCGCAGATACGTATTTGCACCTTCTACCGCAAATAACTGCGACGTTTATTGTGATATTTTGCACATCTGTTAACTATTGTTGTTGATATATTAGGGCTTTGAAAATTGCCCATAGCTACAAGCACGAAAATTTATTTTCTTTGAAAATTAACGTTTATGTTTGTGAGTAGAATTATCCGGTTTTTTTGTTCAGAACACAGCAATTACTAGCTTAGGATTACCAAAACGAAAAGACGCACTCACACATACACACTTATTATTACTTCAGTACTGAAACAAGGTTTAATGATAATAACCTGTGTTACGAATAGTACGAAAAATACACGGAATAAATGTAAAGAAATGTATTGCATTTACCGGTGTGAATCTGACACATACATCCTGTGTAATGCACTTGTAAAGTTTCCGAGTGACCGTTGTTAACATGATCCCATCGGGCTGATTGGAAATAATTGTTAGGCATTGTCAACGAGCATGTCGAGGCAAATGCCAGCTGCTCATCAGCAGCTCCTTCGCTTAACTCCAACAAAGTCGGTAATGCTCTTGTTCGAGCCGAACAGGTGCAATGTAACGCCGCACACGGATTGAATTTCGGATGCAACGCCAGCTGTCCATTTCCAGCAATTGTGGCAGTTTGAAAAAACCTCTTCAGTTGCGGGTCGTTGCACTTATAGTAATTATCCATTGCCATTTTTCAGTCAGTCAGGAATAATTAATCAGGGAAAATTATCATTCTTATTATGGCTATAATTTTGGATCACAAATGTGTGGGTGCGCAGCAGATAAATGTTATCTAATGGCCATGAAATAAAACTACAAATACTAGCGCGGCGTGCGAACGTCTTAGCATACACCTTTAGTGCCGGCAATAAATGCGGACAAGCGGAAATACCCGTATAAAGACAGTGGTCAGTGGTAGCAATGTCAACGAGAAAATTCACTATACAGACATTAAGCACAATTGTGCGGTTAGCATCAGTCAAATATGCCAAAAATGTATTGAACGAGGTACAAAAACAAAATAATGCCGGCGATGGATCTGCGTAGTGTTTAAACTAGGTGCCATACAACAACCACGACGAACCGGCAATTGACGATGAGTTTGACAAGGGCGGATCGTAAAAGTGAGCCGCAGAATAGTCAATTGATATAAAAGAAAATTGTATGAAACGCTTCTGTGGTGCACTATAGCGTAGCGTGCGTACTATGTCGGCTACTGTCGAGAGATTCGATAAATTTTTTGTGGTTGCATCTGGTATCTCCACAACTGAAGTGCGCAGATGATGGGTGCTCTAAATTTCTCGAGACCTTGTGGCGGCTGCCCCCACACTGCTGCAGTATTATTATTATGTGTGGTAGACAGATTGTTGTATGTCTTTCCACCCTACTGATTTCCTAATTGAATACTGTCTGTTTTTCACTGAAAGTGTTCTCGTTATTCTCTAGTTTCGTGCACGACGGCAAAAAACGCCAGCACTTCTGCCAAATGGAAATTATCAAAGTGAATACAGCTGACAATAGCCGCTGGCGCGCGCTGTTACAAGGTCGAGTCACCACCACGAGGCGAAGTTTACTCTTATACTGTTGCACAGAAATTAACAAGTTAAATTACATTCTTATAGCTGCAGTAAATGAAATTCTCTATATGTGTAGAATTTAAAAACCACAGTGATCTTATTTTCTCCTCATTATGTGATAACGATTATCAGTTATATACGCATACCGTATTATTGCTCGTATAACTGGCTGTATTTTGCTGCAAGTTCGTGGCAGTTAGCTTAAACTGCGATGTTGAAAAAGGAGAGATTTAAAACGTAAAAAAGAATGTGCAAATTGCTCATGGTTTATGGCATTGTTTATAGAGTAAAACCATTTTTAAAGTGATAAAGGCATATACAACCTAAGCATTTGCGGTTTGGAAAAAGTCTACCTGCTCAGAATGCGCTACAGTAGCATGCATTACTACAATACGATAATCCAATATTTTGCTTGGGATCGTGTTCTGTTCTGCAGTAATGTCAGAGAAATCGCGGAATAAACTGCATTTCACTAATACTTCCGGGTTAAGAAAATCAGGTCGCAGTAATTACTTGGTCGATTCGCGTGTAAATTGTGGCTAATAGTTAATGTGCATCGCGATTTGCGATCGCTGCTTGTTAGTTGTTGTCAGATTCAAGATCAGAAGCGTGCCGATGTTTTTTGCACTTGTGAATGCAGTCGTCGTAAAGAAATTTAGGCTCACGGTGCAACCATAGTTCAACAGTTGCTGCTGTCAGAATCCAAGTAGTATAACAGATTTTTTGAAAATTCTCGCATGAATGTTGACATAGGAATGGGATGGATAATAATGTACTTAGTTGTACTCGTACGATTAGTGTGCACAAACAAGATCGTGCGGAATTTTCAGAAGTAATTAAAAAATTTTCCAGTTGGTAAGGTGTCTGTACTTATCGGTTCGGCTACTATAGTGGGACTGTACCACAACTATAATAATAGTAATACTAATGTGTGTTTTAACAGTCTCATAATTCATTCACATATGCACACTGCAAACTAAGTGGAGATTTTACGTGTTGATCAATTGCATTCTGCATAATTAGCTTACATACTTCTACCTAAAAGCGCATCCATTTTACGGTACCATATGTGCCATCGTCCTTCTGGCCTTGGAGCATTATAAAGCCTTTAAAAATACTTGCGTCGCGCGCGTTCTCGTCCGGAACCTCTCCGAAAGGCCGGGGATACAGCAGCATGAAATTTAATTTAAACCAAAAAAAAAAATCAAATACGAGAAGTTAAAGAAAGTGAAAGCAGTTTAAATTTAACAAAATCATTCTTGGATTGTCAGTGGAGCACTGGCCAATACAGAAAATTGCAAAAGTCACTCTAAATATATCCGGCGGCTAAACAAAAGTAAATAAGAAAAGTTATTCTGACATTAGCCAATCCCAAAGGGCAGTTTGGAATGCCTTTATGTAGGCACTGTATCACTGATCTTGCACAAATTTTACGTAACGAAAATGTAACAGCAAAACTTTAGGTTCCGTATATAAAGGAAGAACAATAACAATTACCGAAGATCACCTGTGCAGCTTGGCTATAACCTGTTGAGAGGTCATAACAAAATTCCGTGCTTGAAGTCGAGTCTTGTGCGTTTGTTTTAACAAATGAGACACATACACCAAATTGTGTTGCTGTTTATTGGAGCTTGTGCGTTTATGACCTTATGTTGCGCAGATGATTATGACGATCCGCCCGCCGCGGTAACGGTACCGGCTCATACACTTGCTCGAGGTACAATTATTTCAAAATTTAACTTATTTCCTGGTCTGCTTTTGCATCTGAAAGGGCTTACATACCTGCTACTGTAAATTTCGTCCTTTCTCATGTTACTGAACATCGCGAAACCTCATTTTTCTAGAATTTTTCCGGATGCTTCATGGTCAAGCTCCAAGCTGTAGCGGCGCAAAATGCGGTCCTGGTGGAAATATGCCATGCAGAAGTCCATGCAAGTGCTCTAACAACGGGGATGTGAAACATTGTGGAAGATGTTTTGGAGCAATTGGGCAAATATAATAGCGGAACGTTACTATTTAAATGTGAAGCAGATGCATGCCATATTTTTTGTATATATTTGCAATTGCCGTACCTACGCATTACGTAACATGATTGCTACAATAATATCTGCTTCAAAGTTCCTCACTAAGTACTGCCGTATTACGTGATGCACGCTTTGTATTGTATATACTAGCTGATAGTTAGATTGTGCGAGAGCACATTTCTGTCATTTTTTGTGTATGCAAAATCGTTATTTCAACCAAAGATCTCAATAAAACAGCACTGCGGCTGGCATAAGGCCAGAATTATTATTGTTTCAGTGGAAGGTTGGTTGTCTGTGCGTATACCGTACTAACGGTTGCCAAAATGGTAAGCAAAATATAATCATAATACCACAAAAACAAAAACATACTTAACTAAAGATAACGGTCTAAAAGTGTCTAATTTTATTTCACTATGCCCTGCACATGAACAGTAGCGTAAAATGTTAATGTTCAATTTCAGGCGACATGTATCGCAAGCAGACACGAACATACTGCAATATACTTTAGCCTGTATTATGTATAGAAGTAGTATGGATAAATACGTTTGCTGTATAATTATTATTATATTCTTTAGGTTGTTCGCAGTATAAAGCTGAAACTCAATGCAACTCTAATGAACCAATCTTTTAACTCATTCGTTAGTACAGATCGTCGTAAGTTAAACCAATTTCTTTTTTAACCGCATCCATAATTTTAGCGATTGCCAGACTTTCCTTGTGCGTCATTAATGGAGTTTCTGTCAAATTTTCGGTTATGCAACGCCGGACTTCCTGAATTTCGTATATCAATCCGGACATATTTGTATACATAGTCTTCATATCAACCTCCGGCAAAGGAAACTTGAACGTTTCGTTATTGATGACAATCTCTGACGGACACCACATGGGATTTGGAAGCTGAGAAGAGAATTAAATTTTGTTAAGTAAAATTATAAAAATCACAAGAACACAATAAGGACAATAAAGATACAATATTATGCACGGTATGTAGTATATATAGAGTATAGTTGTTATAGCTTGTATAACTGACTGTATGTAACAGACTATCCAAACTTCATGATTATCCCTGCTGTTTATGCTTGATAATTATACTAAAAAGTATACAAAAGATACGCTTATAAATTTCAAGAAATTTATCAAAACTTTAAAACAACCTTTTCCTTCGTGCTTTATCATTAATATGGTCATAAATGTGAGCCATTTTTGAGAACTAGTAAAATTCGTATGGCACTGTTTATTTAATATATGATTTGACTATAGATTTCGAGCAACTATGTACATCAGCTTATCAGAAAAACCACCATAGATGAGCGGACTTAATTGTAGTGTTTTATCACCTTTATATTTCCTTTGCTCCCAAAAATCGTGCGCATCATTTGGTGGATCATTGATAAAGCTTGACATTAACTGCGCCATCCTACCGTCTTCGTACTGCAAGATTATGGATTCGCACATGTCGACACCTGCAGTACAAGTTCAATACAGTGCACAGGTACAGTATAATGCAGCAAGTTTTTCAACAATTTCACAGCTCTACAACTACATAATTAAAAAAATACTTACTTTCTGTAATAGTATGTGTAAGCAATATGTGTATGCGATATGTGTATTGCAGATGTAACAATCCCCATAATTCTGTCAAATAATATTACAGTATATCTATCGGTGAGATCTATGTGAGTTAATTATGGCATTGCTCTGCACATACGCGTTCGTTACACATGCAGTGCACAAAATACAGCAATATTTTAATGGAGCAGCAAATTAATATAAATACACCAGTATTGTGTGACTACAAAGCGCATATTTTAAAATTATTACGTTAATTTTATGATATAATAGATTTCATATATCTGTCCGGTTTAAATTCGCCGAAATATGCAGTTAATTGTAGGCGTTCAATTTCTATGTTTTACAAAGCCTTTACCGCCTGGACTTAAGATGCCGCACGCTTTAACCGTTTTTGGAATCTCCGAACCATAAACAGCGACGGCAAACTGGATTGGATAGATCCCAATGTCCATCATACTCCCGCCTCCCCGGTCTTTCTTGGCAAATAAATCCACAATCCAATTATTTAATCCAAAGCTCGCGGAAATAAATTTTATGTCGCCAATTGTTCCAGCTGCAATTTCTTCGCGCAGCCTTCTGTACGATGGAAAGAAACGACTCCAGACGCCCTTCGATATAATTGCACAAGTAAATTTTAAGACTTAGCGCTTTAGATCAATAATGGGGAGAAATGGAATTATCCAAATAACTTCCTTCTAGTAACCCCTTGCCACTTACTTCTAAAAAGAATTTTCCTTTTTGTTTTGCTAGTGCGATCAGCTCCTCGGTATGTTTCAACAGGAGGGTCAGCGGTTTTTCACAGAGCACGTGTTTATTGTTCTCAAGGGCTAGTTTTGATAGCTGGTAATGGCTGGAATTGACCGTTCCCACGTAAACGATGTCTAGGAAAAGGTCAACTCCCAATTGAAATTTAATAACTTGATTTACAAACTACAATCACTACTTACTGGTTAGTGCATACGTATATGGCTCAAAATTAATACGCTCAGTTCTTCTAATTTTAAAACGATTTACTGACCTACAGGATAATTATAAAGGTACTGTATCGCGGTAATTGACAGTCAGCGCTTAGGCTGTAAATGTTCAATATAACGCACCAAAATTGATACTGGTTACCGATAATTATTGATAATAGATTTCGCAAACAATACTGACCAACGTTGGGATCCGACACCACATCTTCGTATTTCCCATAAAACTTGGGAATGGAAAACGTTTTCGCAAACGCTTCGGCTTTTTCCGCATTTCCAGCAGAAACACATACCATCTAAAAATCATTAACAGTTTATGCAGAAAAGGCACTGCAACTGAAGTTCGTATATTTCTGTCATTTTTCCTCGCGGAGAAGGATACCAAAAAAGACAAGAGATTTCCACATCGTTCATAACAATTTCGCGTTAAAATTTCCATACATACATTCAATAATCTAAAGTAGCTGTTCGTACATTCATAAAGTAACTGTTCATCTAAAGTAGTTCATACTCTTAGTACTCTGTCTTATACTGCAGGTTCAGATCATTGTGGATGCGTGCTAAAACTGTACACAGTAAGTAATACACACTTCGTGTTCATCTCTGGGAAGGCTATGCAAGGACACAGCAAAATCATTGCTGATATTCCCGGTTCCGATTAAACCCCATCGCAGTGGTGCCATTATAAAATAAAATATGAAGCAAGCAAGATAGCAAAAATTGGGAGAATATCCCGTTTATGTATGGAACAGTGGTGCTTAGAAAACGAAACAAGCTGCGTACAATAATTCTGAAAATTAACAGGAGGCCTAGACTAGGCTCGATTAATACAACTTCACAAATGTCGCGTCGGTGAATTATAGCTACTCTAGGTACGGGGTGTAATATTTCTCTAGGGGACTGCTGTAAATTGTGTTCATGTCGTTTCTCACAGATTACAAACACAATGGCTTCTGATAATTGCACAAGGCCACTTCTGGCATGACAGGATAACAGATAATTATTGATTCCATTTTCTGTATCTGAACAGCCCTACGAGTAGTCAGATATTCATTCAAATTAAATTTTGTGAAACTACGATTTGTCATGCTCCAAACTTGCATGATCAGGTAACACCAGAATTTAAAATTTCAGACAATATTGTAAGAGATAAATTACACAAACCGCAGTCATATACAGTAATGTTTCCAGTTCCGGTTTTTATTACACAAAATAGGGGTACATTGTGAGTCAAAAACAAAGTCAGTACTAGTATTAATTACTTACACCTTTCTGTTTTTATGAGTACTGGCGCTGTCTTTTTTAATTAATGTTCGGTCTAATGAAAATATTAAAATAACAAACAATATTCACATACAAATTTAAGACTGCTATAATAATTATCGAAAAGTATAAGGCACTTTACTCCATATAATTTGATTAAGTGGAATTAATCGGCGCCCATTAACGATATTGAAGTACACAGTAAGTACATGTACGTGTATGTTACTTCCAGAAATAATGTAGCCAATCAATTACTTATCTTTCTATACAGAAGAAAAACTGTACTGACGTGGTCGGGGATATGTTTGGAGATACCAATACTGCAGCAATTTGCCGGCAGCTATAATTGCACAACGCAGACGACTGGAAGTTACGTTCGTACTTTGGAGCTATAAAATTCTATATCGTATATTCATCTATCTAGGTGCTCCATCTGCTCATCACTACAGCCTACATAATTGTAACACAGACAAAATGGAGAAACCTGCAGTCATTTATCATTTAAGGAGAACCCTCACCAACTCCGTCGGTTACAACACACATTAATTCAACGAATGAATAGCTTGTGATCATGAAAGTGAATTTTCACGCACTTGAATTGCGGGGTATTTTCAATACAACCAGCTGTTAGTAATATTTTATACCTTTCCGCTAGGTTTTGCATAATTTTTGTTACAATCATGGCAATCACTTCACTTCGAGATTCGATAGATTTGTTTTCATTGATTGGAATCCGCAGCACGGTAAGGTGCCGCTACATACGTGCAGACTGCAGTTGTACCCGTACAATAATAAGACTGAACTTGGTAGGCGTAAAGCATCTTAACGATTTAAGTACAGTAGGTAATCACTACAGTGTCTAATTGCAAGAACATTATATGTCTGAAATTTAATTAATTTTAAGAAAAAAACGAGCCATTGAAAAATGTTCGCCTTAGTTGCTCAATTATGCTGGATGCAGCAGCTTGTAAATCTTAAATACCTATGTACGTGATATGATTCTATAGTTTTCAAAACTAAAATTATTATCATACAAAAGCAGTGTTGGGATAGTGGCCTCGAAAGTAAAAAAATTGGCAACCGCTCAAGGTGACAGCTTTCAGGATCCAATGAAATTTTTGGTAGTCAATGAAATTACTACGCGGTGCCAGGCACTATGCCTACGCATACGTAGTTTGTTTACATTCCTGTGCAGTCAAATAAGGACATCTGCAAATGCCAGACAGCTTAGCTTTCTTACTTACCTGCTGAATCAAGCCGACATTTTCATTCGACGCTGCATCTCGAATCACATTGGCGTGCCAAGGCGCTTACTAAAACTGTTACTAAAGGAGCGCTCTCCGTAAGCTTGACGAATCGATGACATGATCGATGATATGTTGCTGCTTCGATCAGAGCTTCAAGATCCGTGATAACATTCTTTGATAATGGCAATTCCAAACTAAACCCAACATGGATCCAGAAACACCCACTCGTGTCTCCAGCGTGGATATTGTTACAAAACCTGTAACAAACGCTCACGATCCCGTTGTTGATCCCATCCAAGATCTGACTGCTGTTAACGAAAAAGAAGAGGCCGTTCGGGAATTTATGGAAACAGAGAAACTAGAACCGTTTGACACTGACAACCCTTACGCAGAACCTACAGATGTGGAAAATGTGGATGTAACTGACCAAGTTGCTCCGCATGATGTGGAGAAAGCTTATCTGGAAGAGCGAGCGGTTCTCGACGCCTCTCTCCCGGGCCAGGCAACATTAGGAAAAATCCTCAGTGCAGATGATTCTGTATCCAAATCCCCCTCACCCAGTCCTCGAGGATCTCAGGAACGAGTGCGGTATCAGGAAGAACGAGTGCTTCTCGATGAGCATGTGCAAAAGCAGGTGAAAAGTGGGCCCACACCGTTGCCTCTCGTCGTTTCCACCGGTAAACAGGCTTGGCTGCTGTAGCGATTCGGAGATATATCGGTGACAGTCCGTTGGTTGGCTGTTTTTATAGAAAGTGCAAGAACGACAGACAGTATCCATTTGGTTAGATGGTGGCTTTATTTGGCGGAGGTTTTTGGTCGTTGGGTAAGAAAGCGCGTCTTATTGACTTCTGGGCGCGATGCGAAATACTTGATTGTGACGCGGCAGTTTGTTACGTCCAGATCCGGAGAAAACAGCGCTTTCATAACCTTTGACGTTTGAGAAATTGACAAATAAAAACATAATGCTAAAAAGCACAATGCTTTTTCGAACATACAATTGCGATCAGTTCTGAAAAATTGAAAATTTAGCTCGCATGCACGATAGCTGATAGTTTCGCGGACATGTAGCGTGGATCATGTCAATTTAATTAATTAATTTTTAATGGCATCTTTCTAGGGTGATCGAATGTGGAGTTTTACGGCGGCGCTGTTTTTGTTGGAACTTTTCCCCGGATCTATGCTGCTTCCGGCAATACATGGATTTGTCACAGGATCATGTGTTATATTATTTGGATCATCCATTGGAGAATGGGTGGATGCGACAGCTCGGTTAAGAGGTGCATTTTACGTTTAACACTGTAACAGGCTTGTTTACGGTTAGGTACAGTACGTAAATTATGTTTTACAGCTTTATGGTATTTTTGCTTTGAAAGTTGCGCGAAAACTTTTGTGCATAACTGGCAGTTCTAGTGAATGCTTTTCGGTCGTTCGAGTGTGAATCCATTATGCAAAAATTGACCTTCTGAATCTCTTTCAGCGGTGCGGACTGCTCTGTTCATTCAGAATACATGTGTAGCTTGTGGATCGTTGATACTAACGTTTGCCTTTCTGTATCGTGAGGAGATGAGCAGTGATGGGCGAATATTTTGCGTGGTTGGCTTTCTGGTGTTTGCTGTGATTGCTGATTGTGCAAGTGTGGTACGTCGAAATACTGAATGGATCATGATGAGATGGAATGTACTCTTCAAATTCATGGCTGATTTTTGGTTGTTATTCTGTTGTAGGGAATGAACATAATTATCGAAAAAGACTGGGTGGTGGTAATCGCGGGTGGCAACAAGAAGGGACTAGCAGGTAAAAAAAATGTGTATATTAATCGTGGGCCTGAAATTACGTGCTTTTCGGGTAAATGTTTCTTCCTTTGCACAAATTAATTGATTGTCCTTCCTCAGATTTGAATGCTACAATTCGTCGAATTGATTTAACTTGTCAGATTCTCTCTCCCATCATTATCGCCCAAATCATGACGTTTAGCGAGCATTATGTCGGCACGATTGTGGTATCTGTTTGGAATGTGTGCTCCATGATTATTGAATATGCAATTTTAATGAAAATTTACCGAAGAGTGCCTCGTCTGTCATTCAAGCCTTTACCATCTCCCAGCGAAAAGGTGAAGAAGCCCCTATCACGAAAATTGTTTAAGTCTTGTTTTGCAATTCATGACGGGTGGAAGACGTACTTTCGAACGCGAGTATGGCCGGCTGGACTCGGATTAGCTTTCCTGTACATGACTGTACTAGCTTTTGGCGGAGTAACCAACACCTACATTCGGACACAGGGCTTATCGGAATCTGTGATTTCGGTGATGATGGCACTCGGGGCAGCTGTAGGAATTGCCGGCACTTTTGCATTTCCCACTATGCGGGCCAAGTTCGGACTTGAACGAACAGGATTACTTGCGCTCGGTGCTCAGCTGATTTGCCTAATGTTTTGTGTTTTATCTGTGTGGTTACCCGGCAGCCCGTTTGACCCTTACTTTTATTCGAAAAGTAGCAATGAAACGGTGCTTCAACGAGCTGAAGGTAATCGTAATGCTACCGGGATCGATGAGAAGAAATGGTTCACTAAATCAGCAGATGAACTTCCTTCGGTCGTTGTATTCCTGTTCGGAATGATTGCGGCACGTTGTGGGTAAGAAAGCGAACTATAGAAATATTGCTGAATAAAACACGATGATCTGTTTTGCTTCTTAGTTTATGGATGGCTGATCTTACCATTACACAGCTCATACAAGAAAATGTTCCTGAGAAGGAGCGGGGAATTATTGGCGGTGTGCAGAGCTCCTTTAACCGGTTCATGGACATGTTGAAATTCGTTTTAGTGATCTGTCTGCCAAATCCCCAAACATTTGGCTTTTTGGTCATTACTTCCTTCGCATTTGTTGCGACTGGCCATATTTTCTACTCATATTTTGCTGTCAGATCTGGTCGACAAGCTCGGTTGCGCTCGGTACCGGTTGTTGTGGTCACTCGCGATAACCAGCAATCTCCACCCCTCCTACCAAAGAGTGCCCCTCAAAGCGCCTGATCTCCTTTTTTGTTGGTTCTTGTGTATTGTACGGTTATTGTTGCAGTATTGCCTTTGCAATATGACCCTTTTTAGATTGAATAGCTTTTAGAGTTCTTCGTACATTATCGGTTTCTGTGATTCTTTTCCGCGTGAATATATGAGTGCAGTTATTTTGTTAGTTTATTTTACTGTATGACAGCTTGTGCTGATTTTGAGGTTACATAGATGGAATTATTCTGTTGATATCTGTAGATACGATCCATGCGATCTGCACTGGGACGCAAGTGGAAGTGTTACTTATTAAAAAATATATGTCAATTATATATTATAAAGTCACTACAGTAGTGATGAAGTTTTCTCTAATATTTTATTTTTAGCTGTTTGGCAACTCTGCAGAGTAATAAATGTTGCTTTCAGGTTATTTGGTGGCCTCATTGTTTTGTCTTGTTCCACTAATTTAGTAACTGGTCAGTTTTGTTAATCGTCTGATGTTCCGACTTTGCCCTCACGAGTCCGGAAATCTGGCTAGACTTTGCATTCGCGCAGAATGTGCACGAATTTACAGCTGATAAAATCGCTTGCCTATTTCAGCCAAGTTTCGTTTGGTTTTGCAAGATCTGGTGGTTTGTTAGGCGCAATCGCATACCAGGAGGGCGTGACCTTGCGGGTCAGTTAAATTGCAAAATTAACAAAGTTACTGGTTTGTATCATCTTCAACAGATCAAGTCAGAACTTCCGACGTAGCTGGAGTGATCCAGAGAACTTGTTAGACGTTAGTCTGATTATAGAATGATCACAATAGGCTTATCCTGAGGCCAGAATCTTGTCCTCATCAGCAAATTTTAAAACTTTTTAGCGGCATACCGTCTGCAGATAGTCGAAGTTCATGGATACCGCCAACTTGATCGGAATATGTGGTTTAACCGCACCAGTAATAATTTTGGTGTGGAATATCGGTGTTGCATGCGCACGCAGGGGCAAAAAACCAACGGTATGCGATAAGTATACTCTTGCAACTGGTACAGATACCGTACTTTATTGAAATTTTATGCCAAAGGTAAAGTACATCCGCACAACGGTAACTGCTGTTCAAGAGCGATGCAGCTGGTTCAAAACGATTTCTACAATTATAGTGGAAAGTAGTCAATTATGCATATTATGTTAAAATTAATTTCTGCGCAGTCTGCTGGCAGTCGCTTGAACTTTCCCAATAGACGGATGCACAAAAACCATGAGCTTCCTCTTTTAGCGGGAATCATTTGTAACAGAAAAAGAACGTCGCACTAATGTTGATTCACTTGAACAACCGGAAGTTATCGTTATTGGGTCGGGAGTTGTTGGATCTGCGGTTACGACTGTGTTGGCTCGCGACGGCCGGTTTGTAACGGTTATCGAACGGGATTTAAATGAGCCGGACCGAATCGTTGGTGAACTTTTGCAACCTGGCGGAGTGCGCGCTTTGCATCAGTTGGGATTGTCCAGTAAGTGGAAATGCCTGAAATAATTGCTGTGACGTAGGCAGAAATAATTGCTGTGACCAGAACGTAGGCAGATGCATAAATACACAATACTGAATATACTTGCTCGTACCTATAAAGTACTAATAATTAATTAGGACCACAATATATAATATTTAAGTACTTACTAGTAGCTCAATAATACAGCAACTTGTGCAGGTGGAACAAACTGCTTTTTTAGCAACGTTTTGCTTGGTTTTCTTAAGGAAACAATTATATGAACAAAAAATTATACAATATCTTATTTACGAGTCATTCGCTTCTCTTATTCTCTCGACAGATTGTGTAGAAAACATTGACGCGCAAGTAGTGAACGGATATGTGGTGCACGATCTGGAAACCTGCGCCCACGTAGAGATACCCTATCCGACATTTGGCAGCCAGAAGCAACAAGGAAGGTCATTTCATCATGGGCGGTTTGTGCAAAACCTGCGCGGATTAGCTCAGGACGGCCCCAGGTATTTCAGTATGCTCTAAAGCAAATTGTCCCTACAGAGTATAACTACTCTGTATAAAGCGGTTTATCCAGCTAATTACATAACGATAAATTCTTAGAATTCGAATGATCGAAGCGAATGTCGTTAACCTGTTGGAATCCGAGGATTCTGATCGCATTACTGGAGTCGAATACAAACTGCGCGATTCTGAGCAGACATCCCGTTTAACTGCTCCACTGACCATCGTGTGCGATGGACATTTTTCTCGATTTCGGCAGAAGCTGGTACGCGAAAATGTCCAGGTGTCCTCACATTTTGTGGGGCTGCTGATGGAGAAATGTCCCCAGTACTTGCCTTTACACGCTGAACTGGTTCTCGGTAATCCATCACCGGTTCTAATCTGAACAACACACCAGAGTGCTGGTCGACGTTCAAGGCAAACTACCCAAAAATATGCCGGACTTTATGGTATCGGAAATCGCACTGCAGCTGCCTGGTCAGTGCGTCACGAGAGTTAATAACCTGATGTACAATGGATTGTGATAACTATGTATTATAACGTCGTGTTGTACAGTTTTGTATTCCTGATTTTTTCTCAAAACTTCTTCCTATGTCTTGACTGTATTACTGCCTTGCATTATCACATTCAATACGGTGTCTGAATTTAAGTACATTCAGTATCTGAATTTATTGTTATTAAGACGAAAGGTACCGCAACAAAAGTACAAATTCACATTCTTAAGATCTTCAACTGGAGCATTTTTTTCGTTCGATTACGTCATTACTGTCCACAGCGTCCAGTGCTCCTCAGGACTCAGACACAAGGAAAGCTTGAAAAAAAATCAATGGAAAGGTGCGCGTACACGAGCTAGAGCCCATGGTTTAAGTACAGTAGTACCTAACAGCCGAATATTAAGTAAATTAATTTTCTTAACTCAATAACTAAGTTAAAATATCAATAAAAAAACCATTAATCCACAAATGCGCTGGATCATAATCCCATCACTTCATCAGCCACGGTAGCGCATGGAAAACGCGAAGCCGAACAGAGCCACCGCAGCCAACCCCAGCCCAAAGAGGGCCAATTCCCGGGCGTGCTGCAAAATACCGCCGTCAGAAGACACCGAGAACAGTATCCTGCACACTGCATACTGTACGGTCAAGCCGTACGTAACCGTATAGGAAAAAAACTGGTAAATAATTTGCCGTGTCAATTCTTCACCTTCACAAATTTTATTGCGCAATCATGATATGGTGCACTGTAGTACAGTATGTCTGTACACGACGTATATCGATAACCAACATGCTCCATAATTACCGAAATTAGAACAATACCATTATACCTACCTTTTGCGCGCGCAGCGCGTTCACTTCGGCCTGCAGGCGATCGACTTCCTGCTGCAGCTCCTGCAGTTGATGGTCAGCCTGCAGTTGCTGCAGCCCTGGCTGGTCGCCGCCGATTACTGGCGCATGATGCTGGAGGACGGCAACCTCTGCAAAAATCGAGACAGTTTCAGAATTATATCCAGATTTTTTATGTACAGTAAAACCTGTAACAGTGATTGCAGAGCCACATACTTGATAGACAAATAAAAGAGCAATAAATTTTTGCCGTATGTCGTTTATGTACCATGAGGATTTCGCGCTCTTAACAAAATCTACAATATAAACACACAGAAGCGAAAGATGCTGCGCCGGGGACACTGTTATTCATCATCATCTTCATCGTCATGTACTCTTCACCAGAGGCGACTTTCAGCCACAGTTCACGGTCACGAAAACATAATCCATAACATTTAATATATGACCGTCACATCCTGCCATTAACAATGTGATCGATAAATTAATCACACATTTTAACCACTAAAATGTTACTATTTCTCTCGTACCAAGTGCAAAACATTCGAATAACAATGTAAGCCTAGTCTTTATACTGCAGCCAGAATGGAAACCCTTAATATCGCGCCGGCTAGGCGTAATAATATGCTTTTACACAGCGTTCAATAACAATTAGCTCGGCTGGTCAGTGATGCATAAATGGATCAACTGCAATCTGTTTGCTTGAAATATCAACCCAGTGCTGACAAGCTACGCGATGTTGTGGACGATCCAGGGCGCCGGCGATCACGATTTCCTTAGAATAACAATGGTTACAAAAGTTCCATCATACGGATCATTTTCACATTAACCCCCAGTAAACTAGTTTCAATTTAGCGCGCAGAGCCTCTCTCAGTTTTCCATGCAAAATCCCTTCTTGAGGCATTCACACTCTGTTCCCCGTGATCTAAACAATCAATCGCCAACGATCAACCTATCCACCTAAATCCGGTCAGCTAAGAGAGCGCGAAATAGCCAGCACGCCTAACGATTACAAAGCATAACGTGGTGTGCTTCCGACTGGTGGTATTGGCAATTTGGCACCATATTGCACCTCGCCGATCGGCTAAGGCGGATATTATGGGCTATTAGTGCTGTCAAGCAAAACAGATATCGTTAGCCCAGCAGCGAGCAGAATACACTGCGAAACATAAAACAATTTAAATTTTAAAAAAAGTAATTTCAGCTTTCAGTTGTAAGTAAAGTATGTCAATTGTCAAATTGTCCAGTGAACAACACCAGCTACAAGCATAGTCACTATAATCGGCGTTTTAGTATTTACAAAATCTTCTAGTACTTCAGATGAATTCCGTTATACTGCAACTGGTCTCAAATACACAGACAAACAATTTAAAACAGCACCTATTGTAGAGGTATCAGTCACAGATTTATAAAAAATATCGAAGCGTCGTCATCCTTACAAATATTTTACCAAGTCAAGACGTGGGAACGACAAAAGTCTAAGAATCTGATACTGATCCTTGAACCGCGCTAAAATGCGCTTCAATTAGAATCTCAACATCAGGCGTGAATTTGAGACGAAAACCCGAACTTGTAACAGAAGAGAATTTCTGGATTACGTATGTCATGAATCTCATGATCACTACTTCTACTTGTAACGGCATTTGCTGTTTTCTGCTAAATTTCCACTGAACACTTCCATAAGTGCAACAGAGTCAGTCACTACGAATGTATAAATATAATTCTTACATGCTAGTGATTATCGCGCTGGTAAGTTCGTGCTTAATGACCTGAGAGGAACTCGATCTCCTCTTTTACTCTGCGTCCGAATCAGACTGATTGTATAAAACGTTAAAATTTCCTCTCCTTCATCCACAGTCTAATTCACAACAAATTCCTAGACGTATATCCATTTGAGAAGTCGTGCAATACAGAGAACAGTAAATCACTGTTGTCTGCCGCAATTCCGCCATCAATAAGTTCTCGTCGTGCGGCAGCGGAACCATACAGAGTGCACTCATACCAAGTTCACCATGGACGGACACTAAAAGCACGCTGTTTTCCTTTCGCCCCCTCGAGTTAGCTAACTGGTTCGAGATGGCAACAGGAAATTACCACTAATTCAATTACTACACTCGCCGTCGCCAATTTGTCGCTTGTACTCTTATATGCCCTTAGCGTACGGCTCAGCGAAGTACTCGAGCGAACTGGACTATGGTCAAGCAGTTAAAAAGTAGTTTCTGGATTTTAATTGGTCGTGCATTCAGATTGGTGTTTCGCTTTCCCGTGTCAGCAAATCAAATCCTACCTAGTTATCCGGATAACTCATTAAATATAAAAAACATTCTCGTAAATGCAAACAGCCCAGGCGGAATTTATGCTACGCCTAAATGAAACCTAGCCATCAGCATACAGACTGCCCCATATACATACATGCGCGCTCAGATCTATACTATTGTATGTATGGGGAACGATACTTCTATACAAACATACAAATGATATAAATTTTTCCGCATTTTTGCTTCCGTTACTTACGCGAGCGAGTTATACAGAACTTGTATTTCAGAATAACGTAAAGAAAGAACAAACTTAAAATTTAAAGTCTGCCAAAGGCACTAATCATTCTTTCCCATTTCCTATAGACAATTTTAGAGCAGGAGGCGGTGGAAGTCTTGAAGATGTTGGTCACTTATGGCCATCACGCACATGTCGACTAAAGTGACCGATAACTACTGTTTTCCACTATGCCGCAGTGATCCTATCCGTCCACTTGATCGGCCTTCCACGGAAACACTTTTCCCTCGGGTTCTTTACGTCCTTTTCAAATTGTTCAGACAAGATGATAAGAAAATAGCTTAGCATTTAATTTTAATGCAGCGCAAATGCCAATCATCTTCTAATGGTCCTACAATTTACAGCTTATACACTGATGGTGAGCACTGAGCAGTGTACAATACATTAGCACTCCTTATAATCAAATGTTATACTTTTATTTGCATGAACACTCTAACTAAAATGCATGCATATAATATTCATAATTCTCACCCTTTATCAAGGTATATGTATCTGTAGTTAGTTAGTAGTTGATATGCATCTCAGCATCTGTAGTAGCTGCATGAAATGTGTTTCAGATGTTTCTTTTGTGAGATGCAATAAACATATCAGAAATAAATATTTCCCCAAGTTATCACAATCTTAAAACCTCCGCATACAAAATCTATATAAAATACCGCTTGACCTATTCAGAGCCCTTTTGCTCATAATATAAACTAGGCTCTTGACGAGCACTGGCAAATCGATCCATTTCAAAAAATCAATTATGATCAATTATGATTATCAATTATGATCGCCAAGAGATAAATTTAGCAACATAATCCTATCCAAATACAACATGATACACTACGACACCCAGTGCGAGTTTATTGACACAGTTTTACGATGTTTATTTACAGTGCAGCTAGGTACTTCTCTTAGATATCGATATTTCACAATCTGCATAAATTATTAACCTATGGCGCAATCATCCGTTCCACACTTTGGAAACCGGCATGCCCCTAATGCATATGCACACTTCGTGGCGTTTCAACAGAACAGTTCGAATTCATGGCAATCCATTAAAACATCGGCCAGCACCTCAAAGAACAATTTCATACAAGAAGCGCGGTGAGAAGATTATCGTATGTAAAAAACCTCAAGACAGAAGATTAAAGGGTCGAGGAAAGTACATACATACACAAGTAAGCTCGAGGAAAGTATTCAAATAAAATGATTGCATATATTTTGTTCGGAAACCCTGCTGAGAAAACTATCATTGTTTCCAAAAACACCCTTCTAAATTTATGTGTTTAACAATGTCAAAAGCGTAAAACAGCAGCATCGCCGCACACACGCACGCTAACCACAAAATGTAAAAAGAGTGCGAATATACACATCATTTAAAAAACACAGCAGTCCCACCATGAGCTGCGCAGTTTGACATGTCGTAAGTCGGACACGTTTTTCCTCGTACACATATGCGAATGATTAATTGCAGAGGATTACAGAAAATGGTTCTGCATAGGAGGTTGTTACACTCTATAATTTGCTGTCATCTTTACCTTACAGCACACATATCCTGAGTGGACGTAATACCAATATGTCCACCACAGTCCTACGCATTTTGACCAGCAACCAATTATTAAATCTACAATTACCAATTTTTTACAGCGAAGCGTTCATAGATACTAGCAGCGCCTTACCAGTACAAGTAAAAAAACGACGATGTCCTAGAACCTTACATCCGATAGTTTCATTATGGATATTACCTAAATCTAACACGGCAGGTAGCGACAAAAAATACGTGGCGACATGCGGAGAAATATGGTAATTGTGATCCGGTAATGTGTACCGCTTGTAATGTATGCCCCAAAGATTAAACACCAGATGTCCTTCTCATTTTCACACATCCTTCGCGGAAGAGATATCTCCAAGTTCAACCACCGTAACTAATTCTCTAGTTATCGAGTGCGCCAATAAACCTGTTACATAAGTTTAATCCAATCAAGTATTCCGAAATACAATAATGAACAAACTCTCCAAAATCTAACAGCTTTAGCCAGCGATAGAGACACGCGCAACGCTGCGTTCAAGTTGTAAAATACTAGAACAAGATGTTTTAGTTTGCTTAGACAGTTGTGCCATGGACCAACAATAATGCCTGCTTTCGATTACAGAGAAGATTATAAAACGTTAATAATCCTAGGTATTTCATTCAATACCCCGGTGAAAAGATAACAATCCAGCTTCCCCGTGGTCTGCATGAAATCTAGCAATGAAACAATATCAAACGCTTGCCGTCGCACGGCAAAACAATAGCAGAGCAGAAAGCGAGCTGACTGGTACCAAACTAGCGAACATACGAGGATAACATCGTATTAGGTTATTAGCCAAACTTCGTCACAAAACTGCTTCTTACTGGGAATTTATTCAAGATTTGTAAGACACCGGCCAGGAACATATTCACATCATTACTTACATATTAATTACCGATTGCGAATGTGCTTACTGGCACAAAAACTTTAAATTTTAATGCGATCTCGCGGTATACTGGAACACAATAAATCATATTTTACAACAGTCAATAAGAGCTACACTGAAGTACGAGTATCCGAGTATCTGATTTAACACACTCCGACATTCTATAAAAATCCAACCCTATATGATCCATACTTGATCAGTTAACTGTTAACCTGCGTGTGGTCTAGTTCAATAATGTCAAATTCATGCGCACTGACAGTAAAAAATATTTCCGCTATAGTTTAATTTGATATGATCTCCGGTAGTGGCTTTCTGACATGAATCAGTTTACGGATTTCATCAGCTAGCTGCTAGCAAGAGAGAATATGCTTGCCGAACAAGCGGATTACGGGGCTTGATACTTCGTAAATCTTTAAAGCAAAGCCAGAGAGCTGTTAAGCTCCATTTCGTTCCCTGTCAAATAACTTTAAGAAAAACGCCCAGAATCCATCTTGGTTAATAACGTCAATGTCTGTTTTTGCGCATCACTAAACCCTCCTTCAGTAATATAGCTAAAAGAAGCGCCATCCCCTCCTCACAACTGCCTGCGATAGATAAATATGAATTACCGGCTAGATAAATATGAATTATCCTCTTGTATGACCATCAATACGAAACGAAATACGTGAAGACGGAGCAGCGGAAGCTGCGGAACAGAACAGGTGACATGCTTTGTTAAATGCTCGTACCCTACCCGGCGCAATATAATTGCCATGCTGCACATGATAATCATTCGTGTCACAGTTTTCAGTTTTTACTACTCGGGATATTGTCTTACAAAACAAATTTCTGTTCTGTAGAAGGCGGTCATCGGCACGAATAGCACAGCATCAGTACAGCTCGTCAGTGCGAAAATACCACTTTAGCGCAGGCGAAAAGCTGCGAAAGTGCAAATCCATAAATGTATCCGGCTCAATTCATTTCGCAAAAGTATCCCCACCAGCACGATTCATTTAGCAGGCAGTGTTTGCGTGTTATCTGGCGATCCACAACTTACGTATCAACGCATTCTAAATCTTTTGCAGTGTGTAAGCCATCGGTGACGATATTGCATTCACATTTTGTATCGCGATACTTATGCTAGGTCCATACTGCAATCGTGACTCGAAATCGTACGATAAATCGCAGTCTTAAAATAGGAACTATGATTAAAGCAATCATAATCGTAGTTTTCCACGATGTTGTAGCAATGTATAAAATTTGTTCATTTCTCACCAATTGATCATTCAAGACTATTACGTTTACATTGCACAGGCAACACTGCCTATAAGCTGTTCATATTGATTGAATATTTACAGATCTCAACTTTACCGTATCGGCATTTTAGAAGCATAGTTAAACAATGATGTCGTTAGCGTTGTATTTAGATTCAGGACCAATCGAGTATGATAATCGGTTCAGCAAGTAGTCGTCGGCGAAGTCATTTAGTGAGCCGTTCCGCTCACGGTGACACTGGAAAATGTGAAGAAGTGGATAATAGTGTTTTCCTTTCGATCAGGGCAGCAAACTACCCGGCGCACTCGATCACGAAGACGGATTAAAATATGGCCAAATCAGCGTCCATAGCAAACTGTGCAAATAAAAGTATGTTATCGACTGTAAACTGATTGTAAGTGATATTGTGAATAACGAAAAAGCAGTTTTTCGAACTGACGGCTGTACACTTTTCTTTTACGTACAGCTTTTTATACTGCACATACAGTAATTATCGAACTAGAGCCCCAGGGTTACAAATATTTCAAACGCCTCACGGGGTGGGCTCCAATTACGGGCATCGGCTTGTATTTCGGAGGGGGCTTCAATTTTTCAAACACTAACTTTTTTGGCGTTCGCTAACATGGACTATATAGCATTTAATTAAGCCCATGGGCTTATATTTCGGGGGGATAATATTTATTTCAAATGACCTTAAGGGCGGGCTCTAATTACGGGGGGAGCTTATAATTCGATAATTACGGTATGAGGTTATCTAGAAAAATTGCGTTTGAAGGGCGGCAGGGGAATTTCAAGTTACGAAACACTTGGATCGTTTGTTAATCAAAAACTCCTAGTGATCCTTTTCTGTTGAAATTTCGATAATAATATCATTAAGACTCTAAAAAGGGTCCATTTAAGTGAACGGCCACCAGTTCACATCAGTATACTGTAGTCTTAGGTATCGCCTTCACAGATTTACCTTCCTTAGGCTCTTCGCTACTGAACGTGAAGCGCAAAGCAGTTTATAGATATAGGCCTCGACCACCCTTGGATATTACTACAAATTTTGGTATTACAGGGACGCCGCGCCAAGTTCGGGCAGATTCTCTTACAAATCCGTCAAGGTCACCCACCAACTAATTACCAGTTATCCTATTTTTTTATTATCGTCGTATGTGTTATGAATATTTTTCACTATGGGTAGCGATGCTGAGGGCGTGGCCTGCAATAAACGAGATTTAAATTAAGCAGACCTGCATAAAAATTCGACCCATGGACCATCCTAACCTCCCTCCCAATTAACATTTGTTAAGAAATCCCGCTAACGCTATAGTCCGAGAAGGATTAGTTTGGGCTGTTTTCCATCCAAAGCTCTTGCTTAATTCGCCTGACTCCATTCTATTTCGATGAAGACAACGTGACCTTTGAATTTCTAGGAGGTCAGTTATAAGCCTACTGGAAGTAACCACTGCCCCATCCCAGTTTTAACCGGTTGGCTACTTACTTACTACTTCATTCGACATTTTGAATCTTAGCATATTCTGATTCGCAATAGAAGTGCATAATGATATCTTGCAATGGCTTGCGACCAGCAACAGATGTAACCCTTCTCAATCCCACTGTAAGAATTTCAAAAATTTCCTTTTTTATCTTACTACCATGGTATAAAGTCTCTTTAACAGAGTGGGCGGCAGGCTTCCGAAGACTACCATGTTCAATTTCAAAAGAGTTGTAAAAATTTACAGTACTTCGTGGCTGAGTTCGTACTTATTTCAGCGATAATAAATTTTTCTCATCTGAAACATCTTTAAATGTGTTGCTTCTTTGTTCTATGCCGAAATCCTTCACTTACGTTGAGGCAAACCGTTCTCCTCCATTCCCGAATCGTTACCGTTCCCCGCCATTCTACAAAAAAAATCCCTTACTTTATTGTTAACAAGGAACAAGATCCATAATATACAGTAACTACCAAAAAATCTGGGACATCGGGACCGGAAAAACCAAACATAATGAAAAAAACTGTATAAGCCATTAGAGTCAGCAGGTTCAGAAAACTTGTCACATGCAATTTATTTCTTAAAAAAATTACTGACTTCGACGATGTCAAAACCTGTTCTATATAGCCGGACAAACTTCGTACTGACCATAATAATCTCTATCTGTATATAATAATCGCGTAAGCCTTAATCTTTGTTGAGTCCGTCAGCTCGACGCGCTGATCCAAACTGCCGTGACTATGTATAGCTCTTAAAGTGTAGATTAGCCATCACAAATCAGTTTTTGGAGAAAAAAAATATTTTGAAAGAAAACTTTCAAAAACTTTAACATACAAAGTCTATGGGAAAAGCTTAGACCCCACCACTGCTAAACCGAACACCCCACCACTGTCTCAACATCTAACACGCCTTTTTACAATTCTCCTGCAGCTAGATAAAACTTCACGTTCTATAACAGATTATTCCGTCGCCGTGCGTGCTGTTGTACATGGCTTATCAAAATTTAGTACTTGAAAAAGAACAGAAAACTGGACAAAGATGGCCGAGAATGTTCTGCGTCTGTGGGACAATTCGCAAGTCTGTTTTTCGGCAACTGACCTCCGCGGTGGTTTAAGCGTAGGTATGTTGTAAAGTGCCGCCACGGGCGGGCGCGGCTGCCTTTACTGCTGAACTGCCGGCGATTTGTTAAACGGTTAAACCTCTATTTTTCGAAATTTGCTACTCTTTCGTTTTCAGTTTCGTTTGCTATTCGAGAAAACAATTTGGCAACTTGGCATCTTTAAAGTTTGCTTCGAAGACTCAACCCCGCATGCCGGCGCATGGTACGTAGGGCTGGGAACAGGACGGTTAGATTGCCCTGAACCTGTACAGTACTTTTTCAATTTTTCCCTCCCTGAACCTGTCCTGTCCCTGAAACTCACCTTGGTGATCTACCTGAACCTGTCCTGAGCCTGAAAGTATTCACCCTGAGCCTGACCTGAAATCCTGAGCGTGTCTGAGTTAAATAAATTAAAATGTACTTGAATAATTTTTTTCCGCATCTGCACATTTGAAAGACGATACGAAGCCAGTAGCGAAACGAGCTAAGCACGCATTTCGTAGTGTAGTCACTGTAGTGTAATGAGGTAGCGAGTTTTTCTTCGCTTTTTAGCGCTTGATGCACTTTTTAGGGCCATCACCCGCAATTGTCTACTTGCGGGCGCCATGTTTTACTTTAGCAACTTTGTGAAATTCCGATAACTGCAATTTTTTTGAAAAATCCAGGATTTCTGCAGGACTAAGGTACGCCATGTCCCTAAACTTTCAGGGAGTTTAATGCCCTGAACCTGAACCTGAAACAAATTTCAGGTCAGCATTTTACCCTGAAGGCTGAAACTGTCCTGCAGGTAGAGGATCCTGCAGGTTCAGGACAGGATCCCTGCCCTGCGCCCAGCTCTAATTGTAAGCAACAAGGGACTTTTGGAACTCAAAGAACGCCGGGCAGAAACAACTCAAAAATTGCTATTCCTCTATAAAACAAAATGAACAGTAAGAAAAAGCTTTCAGGGTTAGACTGTAAAGCAGTCACTAAAGCTACTGTAACGAATGCCGTACGGGTAAAAAGAGTAAATCTCCTTTTCGTTGTGACGTTGTTTATCATGCAAACTAAACCCGCACTTTCTCCAAGGTCCACCGCCAACTTACCTCGCACGATAATCTGAAGAACAGAAAAAGCGAAAGATCCGGACTTCCTAATACGTCTGCAAATACTTTATTCAGGAGGATGCCACAACCTGCAAAGGTCTGAAGTTATATCAAGAGCCGGACAAACGCACAAACTAATAAGCAAATGTAGAAAAATGGTTCTTCGCTGTGAACTGATTTATGAACTGACGCATGCTACCGAGACGAAGTAGACAGCACTCAAATTGGCTCAGACCGAAGCGGCGGACCGATGGCTTTAACCGGCTTTTCTTTAGGCCGAGTGGCTTATTTTCAAATAGGATGTGACCGTCCACCCAACAAAAGCTGCGGACCGTTAGAGTTGTCGGACCGAGCCGCGGGCTGCCCAGCAGTATATTTTTCTGATTTTCTCCATACAGCGCCATCTGGAGGCAAAGTGGGGACACAGTTCCACGGAAATTTGAAATGTGAATCATACATACTGAGTCATTTCAATTTGACATTTTGACTGTATGGTGCCGCAAATGTCGTACTTACTTTGCTACTTACCAGTCACACGTGAAGGTTGCAATTACTGTTCAAAAGTTTTAAGCAGCTCCATGGAGAGGCAGCTGGGTTAGCGGTAAATTAAATCGGCTCAAAGGTTTACGCGAACTTGAAATTGCGCAAGACACTAGCGTCACAAGCCACAAAAGAAAAAAGTTTATAATAGTTTTTTATAATTTTTTCACATTATTATAGTAATCAGCAGTTCCTGATTTCATGAGTTACTTGTTTGCAGATTTCCATCTCTAGCCATGCAAGTCTAGAAGTGCCACTGCGTTCACTGTTCACATCGTCATTACGGAAATCCTGGTTCCAGACGTTACTCAGCTTACTGCTTACGGTCTGCTTACCCATTACTCAGTACTGGACTGAAAAGTGGAAACGACATATATTCTGACTGAAGTGGAAGTTCCCGGTTCCGCGTTAAACGGTGCACCGTTTCGAGAGGAAGTTTATGCTTGGGACTGACGAAGAATGGATTTCATCAGCACCAGTTCTGCTGAAATGGATGTTGAGCTTCAGGAGCACCGGAAAGTTTTGGCGCAGCTGAAAAATGATCAAGGAGAAACCCTGGGACATTCCCGTTGACATATCGTTTAGAGATCTGCAAACTATCTGTAATCTCCTTCTTGAACAACAGGTACAGTATCTAGGCACATACGTTCACTGTTTTGAGGTATTATATTAGGCTTAACTGTGGGGCTAGTTACTAATTTGACTACGCTCAGCGCCCAGTCAGCGGGCACGTACGGACCAACTCAAATAATTAATCTCTTTGTCAGGTTGTAGCGTGTGTCATTAACTCGGAGTTTGTAGTTATGTGTTGTTAACTAAATATATTTATCTGCACTTCAAGAAAGCGGATGCCTTTGATGTAATACATAATTCACTACCCGAGGAATTTATTTTAACTAATCTTAACTCATTTCGACTAACTTTTGGCTTTTAGTAAGAATCTCATTGGTTGTTAAATTTGTATATTTTTTTTGCAAGTTTTCAAGATTTTCATTAATCCGATATTTATAAAAATCATACTTATTACTTATGGGTTTATGACCTTAAGATGAACCCCTTCCTTATTCATTCTTCGTGAACGGAACGGAAATCCAGAAAGATTTATCCGATGCGATCGATTTCAGTGTGACAAATACGGAAAAATGTTTGGAAATTGTGTACCAACCGCAAGCAGTTTTCCGAGTCCGTGCAGTTACACGCTGCTGCAGCACCATCGAAGGCCATGCCGAAGCGATAATAGCCGCTCAGTTCAGTCCGGATGGCCGGTATGTCGCCTGCGTTGCATTAAAGTGTCGTTATTGTTTATTCAGTATGATAAATGACAGTATGACCATAGAAAAAGTATGACAGTGAAAGTGCTTCGAATTTTCGGTAAAAATTTTCTATTAATAACTTGAATTTGTTTTTATGAGGTACCTTGCCAGTGGTTCCGGCGACACAACTGTAAGGTTTTGGGATGTTACTACCGAAACGCCACAGTACACCTGCAAAGGCAAGCAGAAAATAAATGGTTATACTTTTTTCGGTTGGAAAAGACCATTACGTGTTTAGTTTATAGATTGATTTGTCGATGTTGTTAGTAGTTAGGTTTTATGAACTTCCGATTAAAAAGAACTAGTTGATTCTGAATTTAGGCCACAAAAATTGGATTCTTGCCATAGCCTGGTCGCCGGATGGCAGAAAATTGGCATCTGGTTGTGAAGATGCCAAAGTAAATTTCATTAATCGAATATTCTTCAGCTCCATGCAGAGTTTATTTACGTTTAACTGCTGTGTTTTTTCGTTTATCAGGTTTGCATCTGGGATCCCTCTAACGGCAAACAGTTAGGAAAGACTCTCTCCGGCCATCAGCAGTGGATAACGTGGCTGTGTTGGGAACCTCTGCATTCCAACGGACACTGCCGATTATTGGCAAGCTCGTCCAAGGACGCCATGATCAGGATATGGGATACGAGTATGCAACAAGTCCGGTCATCTTTCCCGGTCACACGCAGAGCGTCACATGCTTACGATGGGGTGGCGTGGGCCTATTATATTCCTGCTCACAGGATCGCACGTTGAAAATCTGGAGAGCGTCCGATGTACGCTTGAATCTTTCGTTCCTTGAATCTTTCGTACCCTTTTGATTATGTCTTCCTGAAAACGAGATATTTTTAGGGTATCCTGGTTCGAACTTTAACGGGTCATGTGGCTCATTTAAAGTTGGGAACTAATGAGTCCTGACATCTGTAGTATCGACGGTGTACTTCTCGTTTTATACCACTTCTGCTGCATGTGATAAATAGTTTTCCGTGATGTTGCGGAAACAAAACACATCCATTTAATTTATTGAATAAATATGTAAAACCGCCGACATCACAACTGATTTCACCAATAAATCGAAAAGAAAGCAAAGAGAAAAACTTTTGCAGCAATGGCTGAGTAATAAATTAGCATGGTATAATAAGCGAGACCCAAGCAGAACTGCAAAAAAGTTCAAGTTTGCGAATCGGTTAAAATAATATCCCTATTTAACTACGCAGGGAGATCGAGAAAATCTGGCAAAAACTGAATGAACAAGCCACAAGGCTTCATCAGTGACAGCTGGACCCATCATTGCAATTAACGGAGCAAAAAGATCCCTCCTGGCAGAGCAACTGAGCACTCGAAAGAGTTGAATATTGGATGGTGCTTTTTCGGTAAAACAACGTTGTTTCCTCGCCGGGCGCAGCAAACAGATCTTTGGAATTACTGCTCATAACCGCATCAGTTAATGGATGATTCTGATGATGTTTGTGCATCAGTTCTTCCTCCCGTAAGGCATCCCAATAACGAGCCACAGGTTCACCCTCCCAATGAGTTTTATCCAGAACACGAGCAAATCAAGCATCTTAACGATTTAAGTAGGTACTCGTACTAGTAATCAGTGACTGAAGTAGGTAATCACCACATTGTCTAATTGTAAGAACATTATATGTCCGAAAATTTACTGTACTTAATTTTAAGAAAAACGCGAGCCATTGAAAAATTTCGCCTCAGTTGCTTAATTATGCCGGATGCAGCAGTTGTAAATCTTAAATACCTATGTACGTAAAATTTTTCTGTAGTTCTCAAAACTAAAATTATTATCATAACAAAAAGAAGTACTGGGATAGTGGCCTCGAAAGTAAAAAAAATTGGCAACCGCTCAAGGTGACAGCTTTCAGGATCCAATAAAATTTTTGGTACAGTAGTCAATGAAATTACCAAGGCTTTTTCCGGCAGGCGATGGGGGGTTGCCATCGCGACAGAGGGTGTTTAGCACCCGAGACCATATGGCTCTGTTGTGTAGAATTTGTAAGGGTAGTCTTTTTTGTAGAAGCAGTAGTTTAGCCATATGTGTCCTGTCAAGGACGATTTTCGGGTTGGGTGTTTCGATATAAATGAGGCCGCTTTTAAAGTTCTCTGACGAAATGATTTTTGATTGGAAGTTATCGGATGGGGGAGGTAGGTATTTGCTGGTGATTGGTGGTTTTGTGAAGTATAGTGTGTTGTGGGTATATAAAAGGAAATCGGAGTGCGGTGGAAATTTAGTTGGTTAAGGGAAATTGTGAGAAGTTTGTTGTGTGGATTGTGTTGTAAGATCTTATTTGATAGTTTGATAGCAAAGGTTGTTGTAGTAAGGTGGAGAGTGGTTTGGAGTGCCTGGGAAGAGGTGTTTGAATGGATTTTGGCAGATTTGTGACAAGTAAGGAATTTTTTTAGTGAATTTTTGTCATTATTGGTAATTTTTTGTTGCATTTGGTTTTCTAAGTTGAATAGATTAAAAGATATTAAGGAATAATTAGAGAATTGGTTGGCTTTGGCTTTATGGTAGTGTGGTTTAAACGGAGTTTTAAGGATATCTACGGAGTTTTAAGGATGTTATACAGTATATCTGTATATTCGGATGTTTGGTGTGTAGATAATATCATGTAGTGCAGCTGCTTTTCGCTTGTGTGAAAGATAAAAAATTTTTAACGTGCTACTAGTAGAACTTTTAGTACTTAACATTATCAATAATGTAACTTACTAATATAACGAGCTAGGAGTTTTGTTGTAATGACTTTTGGTAATTACCTCTCGTAACGAAGAGATACATTAGTCGTTCGTCAGAAAGAATATGAGAAGGAGAGATTTTTTGCTCGTGTAGATTTTTTTGGAATTTCATGTTAAAATTTTAATGCTTTTTTGGGGTTTGAGTGTTTCGGGTGGGTGTTTTGTTATTTTTGCGATTTTTATGTTTTTTATTAGTCAAGTGCCAGTTATGACAACTCTTGAAACATAGTAGGAAAATATATTATTCCATTACTGCGTTTACTAAATTTATTACTTAATTTTATTTTCTTTCTTATCTTTTTGCTTTGTGGCGAACGTTATTTGTTCTTTTATTCACTTCGATCAAGATTAACTTTCAATCGACTACCAACTGATGAAGTGCCCAGAAAACAGCTATACTATTTACAGTTTTACTGTAGTACTTACTATGGTGTTGCGCGGTATTCATCGTTATATTCACTGACGCTTATTGATATACTTTTTCGAACTACACCCAATCATTTTTTCTGTGAGAATTCAAATGTGCAGCACATTAATGGTGCATTACTATAGAATTTTTAAAATAGTAGCGAGCGCTTACTTATTTTCACTAAACACCGGTATCGCTAGAGTAGGTTGTTGCACGACGTATAGGTCGTTTTTGAGACTGTTATCTGGGACAGTTTACATAAATGCAGTTTACTTAACTGCAGAGGACTTTCTGTAACCGGTAACTGACGTTATCATTAATAGGAAGGTAGTTATAATATTTATGTTAATAAATGATGAAAGAAAAGGAAAATATGGATCATATGAAGGAAAATAGAAATTATATTATGGAAAAAAATGGAAAAGTATATTCTGGTAAAATATAGAAAGAATAAGTGGCATTATAGAAAATTTATTTGGGATTTTTAGAGTTATGTTGTGTAGATATTGTAGTTGATAAAATCAAATTGAAGAAACAGGTGGATGTAGTGTTCCGTATGGTTTATTGTATAGTATATGTTGCGATAGTATATGATGCGCATGCGTATATAGTATATGATGCGTATAATGTACTGTAAAGTTGATTGGTTTTATGGTTTGAATCTGGGTATGTTTTGGAGTAAATGTAGTTATGGATGAATGATTATGTGTGTGGGAATAAGATATTTTGAAGAAACAGGTGGGTGTAACGATCCGTATGATGTGAAGTCTGTTGTATTTGGCGATTTTTATTTTACTAAATCTAGTAAATATTTTGAAGAAACAGGTGGGTGCAACGTTCCGTATCATTCAGTATTTTAGGGTATTTTGATCCGTTTTGAGATTGGCAAGTGAAGTTGGAGTTATGAGAGACAGGTGGGTGCAATATTCCGTTTAGAGGTTTACAAATGTTTTTTATTGTAGATTAAAATCGGAAAAATTTGGAGAACATGACTTTCATTCCGATTTTTGTTGCGGTTGTTTGGTTGTATGTTTGAGTTGTTTTTGTATACATGCCATTTTAGGTGTATGGTTTTTATTGGTAAGTGTTTTAATTTAATTTGATTGTGCAAAAATTTTTATTTGCTGGTTTTTTAAGGTATTGAAACGAAAATGGGGGACAAGAATTTGGGTAAGTTATACAAAGATGGAAAAAAGAGGTGTTAAGCGAAAGTGTGAAAAGAGTAAGAAACCTAAGAAACCTAAGAAACAGATAAAAGAACAAATATTTGGCAGTTCATATTTTAATAAAATTATGGTTAATTATTATCCTTGACTGAGCCGAAACCATCGGAAGTTACATTTGTCTACAAGCCAATAACTGTAATTACGATAGTCATGAAGCATAAGGTCCTAATTTATATTATAAATTCTTTTGTTATTGTAGTTGCAAATCGTTGACGACAGTGGTGTTGTGGATGTTGTGGGATATAATCAAATTCAACAGCAATTATTTGGACATTCAGCTGCTGCGCATCAAAGCGGATTGATTGGGATTCACGATTTTTCAGCTATGAATAAGCAATATCGCGTCATACTGAAACAGTCTTATGCTTATATTGAAGTTAGCAATAAAAACGTTTCATAAATATAACAAGATATTAACACAAGTTATAATTTTTAATTTTTATAAAATATTCATATAGGGTCGGAGCAAAGAAACAATCAGCAAAACGTATATGGAAGAAAAAAAGCCAGGTATAACCTTTTTTACGAGAATAAATTAATTATTAATCTTCAAAATTAATAATGAATTTTTATTTTGATAGACGAAATTCAGGAAGTGCTTTGGATATTGTTGTCACTGACGACAATACAACCGTACTGCAGCCTGACTCCAGCAAACGATCTGTTGGTAAGAATTTAAATATAATTATTAATTTAAAATTTATTTTTTTAAATTTATTTATTTACCACTTATTTGTTTATACAGGAACTCCGAAGAAACGAAATAAATGAATGGAATAGCATGAACCGTTGCTTTTACTTCGAGATGGACCAATCGTTTTCATTTTTATTGTTGTTATTTGAGCGATTCATGAATTTATTACCGCCATTATACCATTTTTTCTAAGTGCATTATAGTTACCTGTGGTATTATTATCTGACAGTGGTGGTGCGGTATTATTATCTATGTGATGTAGTTATGTTGAATTACTCGTTTAATACTTGTAAAGTTTGTATCTTAGTATTTTTCTTATACTGAAATAAACTATTATTTTGTTATTTTGTATTGGTTTTGTAGTAATTAACTTTTAAAGTTACCAATAACTAAAGGACGAAATAAATAAGGCAATTTCTTTGTTTTCAAGTTTGAGTAGATCATAATATTTTATAAATATGCGACCTACTGAGTCCAAGTAACAACTTACTGGTAGCTGAGAACCTTTAATAATTATCATGGTACGAGTACAAAATATGCATTAGAACAAAACGGTCTTAACGAAAAGAACAGTTGTATTATGCTATCCTGATCGGGATCATACCGATTACACAAACCGAAAGTCAGCTGATGTGTGGTAACAATAAGTGAAAATAAAATTAAAAATTAAGATGGGTAAATTTTAAAATATGCGTCCAACTGCGCCCAACCAGCATTTACTGCCAGCTCGTAGGAGGTAGTATTTAGAGTCAGGTGTGTGTTATAAATATGCGCCCAACTGCGCCCAACCAACAGTTACTGCCAGCTCGTAGGAGGTAGCAGTTAGAGTCAGGTGTGTGTTATAAGTATGCGCCCAACTGAGCCCAACCAACACTTACTGCCAGCTCGTAGGAGGTAGCATTTAGAGTCAGGTGTGTGTTATAAATATGCGCCCAACTGCGCCCAACCAACAGTTACTGCCAGCTCGTAGGAGGTAGCATTTAGAGTCAGGTGTGTATTATAAGTATGCGCCCAACTGCGCCCAACCAACACTTACTGCCAGCTCGTAGGAGGTGGGATTTAGAGTCAGGTGTATGTTATAAATATGCTCAGTTAGTTTATTTATGTTATAAACTAACTGAGCTGCGTCTCTATCGGAGTCCTACGCACAACCATACTTCCAACTTCATTAACCATTCTTCTTCATTAACCAACATTCAATCAATTATACAAACACCAGGTGGCGCTTCTAACTCTTAAACCGCCTGCCACTTGGCCGCCTCCCCCGAGGTGGCCGCCCGTTAGGTGTTATTTAAACCAAGGCTTACCGACTTCTACCAAAGTCTGTACATTGAGCTTACGCTCAAGTCACCGCTGTGGAGGCAGGACTGCCTCTGCTCCTTCAACTATGCTCCTGGCAAAGAAAGCCATAAAAACCTGTAGCAAGCCCGGGCCTACATAATGTGTGCCTCTCGAACACAAAGGCGTGTATGACAAAAGAGCTTTGTTGAGTCTGTTTGGTTGAAACAAAGCAGACCGTTTCCAATGAAGTTCTGCAAAGACAGTAGCAGAACGGCTTGCGACTTCATTATTTCTTCACGTGCACATTACTCGCCTGCTATAGTGCTATCTAGCGGAAAGTTAAAGTGTGCCTTTGAGAATAACACTGGATTCTTCGGCTGCACCGTATAAATATTTTAAATGGGAATAAAAGTTATATGTTATTGGAAAATGTGACTTCAGTTTATCTATATTGACAGCGGTAGTTGTTGCGGTGTTATGTGTTGCATTTCACACATCTGCGTTTCGGGTGGTCTTTATTATTATGTATGTATGCCCGGGCTTGCTACAAGCCCATCCAACAATTCTTTGACCGCTGTAAGCGGGAATTTAAAGAAACGTGGGCTTGAGCTATTTAAAGTGCTTCGACACGTCACGCCACAGGGGTCTGCGTATTCAGCGTAAATAAGCAACAAATCTGCATGTGTTGCAGTTACTGTATCTGTGATATACAATGTAATATGTTTAGCATTATTTATTGCCATCATAATTTATATTAATTTTATGCTTTTGTAACAGTATTATCTTTGCTTTGCAATACAATATCGCGGTGGTACTTAATATCCATATTACTTTCAAATTACTGATTGCAACATGCCCGGGCTAAAGATGATTGATTCCACGTTGGTCTAATAATGGTCTATTGATTGTGATCTAATATATTATTATTGGTTGAATATTTATAAATATATCTGCCACTACACTACGATGCGTATTTGCATTACTTTGCGCGATTTATATGCGCTGCGCTTACAGCGGTCAAAGAATTGTTGGATGGGCTTGTACACTTTCGTTTACACAGTGAAACAGCATAGTGAGCCTTTGCGGCAAGTGCACGGGCCCTGCTCTTACCAAGGCTCTGATGTAACCAGCGTGTATGTATTAGTACGAACCGTTAAACCGTGGCCAATGCTTCGGAATTGTCCGGAAAACCGAAACTGGGCTAAAGTTATCAACAAACCTGTAGCCATCTTCAGTGCTACAACAGTCGTTGCCTTTCTGCACTCACTGCTTTTCGAAAACAGAAGTTCTCCGTGTACCTTTAGTCCTAGCTTGCAGAAAAATAATTTCTTAATTATCTGTACGTTACAGAAGTGGTAAACCTTCACAAAACAAAAAGTTATGTGTTTCTTAAATTTCTGGTTTACGAGAACGCAAAACGGCGGATACGCTGCTACCCTGTGACACTAGGCCCGATCAATCCTGTCTCTTAAGAAAGATATCGCGAAATCAAATGTGAAAGCAGAATGCGTCACCGATGGATGACACACAGCAAAAAATACAAATGCGTTGGACCAGTAATAAGCAGTGGATCACCACAGAAAACGCAAGCAGTGACTGTTAAATGAATCGTGCTGCGTACACACAAACGAATTGTACAGCAGGGCCGCAGGCGCGTTTTAATCCACATGCTTGAGGTGTCATTAATTAATGCAATAATTTACAACTTAACTGAAGAAAAGAATGTATCCATTTACTCAATGTAACTTAGGTAATTAATACGCGTTATTAATTAATGTAATTAGACTTAGTTACAGTAACGCAACTTACACGATATTACAAGTGTGCATTGATAATTGCAATCACTAATAATAATTACTTTAATTACTAATCGTAATTACTAAATTAACAATCATTAATAGTCTAATAACAACAACTAGTAACAACTTTTCAATCTAACAATAAGTGAGGCTAAATTATTAATGCGGATTAATCCCTGACCACATTTATTAGCAAACTAGCAATTAGAATGCTTTAATATTTACTATAGGTTACGGGTTCCGGTGACCACTGTGTAAAGGTCGGTTGGCTATGCACCGGCAGCACCACAACGGAGGTGAATGTGTATGTGAAATAGAAAACGCAGCTTCGAAGCTGCGTTTTGTAATTCATCTGTGGATCACGTAGCGGACCAATGAGCGCAGCCGTTAGCTTTCGGCTTGAGAATGTAGTGGTGACTAACTCGCGTTATCTTTCACGGGCGCGCAACGGAGCGTTGTGCCCCACTTCAGGCAAAACATCAGTGAGATAATTCTCATAGAATTGATTACTCTTACTGTTTGCATTCATACGCAATGCACATACGCAATGCGTGCAAAGCAACGGGCGGGTAAATAAGTAACTACAATGTAAGTAAAGTAAATAAGCACAGGCCCTGGTAAGCCTCGGCACGCTACCTCCGAAGAAGAGATTCCCCGCCGCGTGGGTATACAAATCGATGACTTCAATGTCAGCGGAGCAGTACGCACCCTTCTTTCGTCGGACTCGGTCGCCGATACTACTCCGGAAGTGATCGAGTGCATGCAGCGTAAACACCCCGAAGCCCCCTTACCCACGCCCCCGGAAGTTACCTCGAACCCGACGTTTGTCCCTCTCACTCCCGCAGAAGTGTTGTCTGTTTTGGAAGCCATGCCGCGCGGCAGCGCTGGAGGACTAGATTTCTTACGTCCTCAGCACCTGCTGGACCTAATTGGCGGAAGACTGGATGACGCATCGTCCGATCTGTGCGACAGCCTCACGGATCTCCTGAATCTCATACTGACTGGTAATATACCTGCAGACATCGTTCCTCTTCTCTGCGGCGCTCGACTAATTGCACTGCGCAAGAAGGACGGAGGCCTGCGTCCAACCGCAGTCGGAAACATTTACCGCCGTATAGCCGCAAAAGCAGTGGATATTATAGCGTATGTGACTAATAATGTACAAGTGTTGTATGAGTAAACTGTGTGAGTGTAAAGTGTAAACTTTGTGAGTGTAATCTTAAATCAAAAAAAACCCATCCCATTTCATTTAGCCTTCCTAAACACTCATTGTTTCTTCGCCTATAAAATGGCAGTCTGTTACTGTATACGAAGATGAATTCTTACGACTTCTTACGAACGAACGACCGATCGATCGACATTAAACTTCTGCCAAAACCTGTTGTTCTTGCGTTCCTGTATTCCCGTTATTCCTACACCATCATAACTTGATTACAGTTAGATCAAGTTAGGCGACTGGGCCGCCGGAAAGGCAATCCAGTACGTAGCGTTTAGTCTACGTTATAATATCCGCATACGATCAGTCACATCAGAATTTCTACAGCCGCATCAGCTTGGTTGCGGAATTAAGAAAGGAGTTGAAGGCATCATCCACGCAACCAGAGATTTTCTCCTCCAGTACAGCGGTAACGTCAAAGCACTACTCAAAATTGATTTCACAAACGCTTTTAACTGCATATCGCGGGAGGAAGTGCTGAAAATTGTAGCTGACGTCATCCCAGAATATTATCCGTTCATCAGAATGTGCTACGGCTCTTATTCATCGCTGTTCTTGGACGACACTGTCATCACTTCCCAGTCCGGTGTGCAGCAAGGAGATCCACTTGGCCCAGCCCTGTTTTGTTTGGTACTGCAGATCGTCATTGATAAGCTGAACACTGATCTGAACGCCTGGTTCATGGACGACGGAACTCTTGGAGGCCGTCCGGCGAGTCTCATCCTCAATTTTCAGCAGCTGATCATGGAAGCACAGAAAATCGGCCTTACTATCAATATTGCTAAGTGTGAATTGTTCCTCTGCGGGGGCACAGACGCTCAACGAATGTCTGCCGCGGACGAATTTTCCCGTTTATTCCCTGGTATAACTATCACATCGGCAGAAAAACTCAACCTTCTCGGGTCCCCCGTGTTGCCCGCCGCTGTTGTACCAATGGTCAATGAGAAGATAAGCCAAATGGAAGTAATGTGTGATCGCCTTCGGCTGCTCCCTAAACATCAAGCGCTGTTCCTCTTGAAGAACTGTTTAGCAGTGCCGAAGATCGTCCACATCCTTCGTACTTCTTTAGCATGGGTGTTCCCTCATGAACTTTACAGACTCAACCAGGTGTTCCGCGACGCTGTGGAATCCCTCACTAATGTACGTATGGACCACCCGACGTGGCTTCAAGCCTCACTTCCCGTTCGCTTCGGTGGGTTGGGGATCAGACGCACGGAGAAGCTAGCTCCCTCTGCCTATATGGCATCGGCTTCCTCGTTGCACCCGCTGATTTCCGAGCTTTGCCCGAAGCTAACGGCTACGGATGTGTCCGCCGCCCCGCATGCCTGGAAACTGACGACTGATACAGATGAACTTCCGCCCCTCCCGTTCCGCCACGTCCAAAAAGCATGGGACACACCTGCGACGCTACATGCCTTTTTCCGACTGGCAGCCATAAGGACCACACAGGAGGAAGTCGCCCACTTGAAAGCAGTATCAGTACCGGAATCAGGTGTGTGGATTCATGCATTACCGGCAGCTTGTTTCGGTAATCTTCTGGAGAACAATGCGTTTCGCATAAGCGTTGCGCTGCGACTGGGTGCTCCAATTGTTACTCCTCACCTGTGCGTATGTGGCGGCTTGGTGAATGAACTGGGGCGGCACGGGCTCCGATGTAAACGGTCAGCAGGCAGACTGCCACGACACGACGGCATAAGCGCGGAGATCGCCCGTGGACTGAAAACGGCAGGTTTTCCTGCAAGAATGGAGCCAAAGGGTCTGTCTTTGAAGGATAAGAAAAGGCCGGATGTGATTACTCTGGTACCATGGGAGCGTGGAAAACCGCTGGCCGTGGATGTAACATGCGTCGACACACTCGCCGCCTCGTATATCGACCGTACCTCTGTAAACGTCGGAGCAGCAGCTGAACAAGCGGAAAGGGCGAAGCTGACAAAACACGCCTGGCTGCAACCTCGGTACAACCTCAAGGCAGCAGCGTTCGAAATTTACGGGCCATGGGGATGTGGAACTAAGACGTTAGTGGATAAGGTTGGAAACGGGATAGCTGCTGCAACAGGCCAGAAACGAGCGAAAGAGTTTTTTAGGCAGCGGCTATCTATTCAAATACAGAGAGGAAACGCTATATGTGTGATGGGTACAATTCCCGACCAGGATAGCATTGAGGAAGTGTTTTTGCTATGAATATTCTTTTTGTTTTAGTACTAAGTGTGTACTAGCGTGTGATACTTATTAAAGGTCTTGGGATCTTCATCCATCAAACTACAAGTTTGATTGGATAATCCAAAAGCCAGCAAACACCAAGCAAAGAGCACGAGGTGGCAGCTACAATGGGCGGTGAACCGGGTCAGCGACAGTTGCGGCAGTTACTTGAAAAAGTTTTGTTTAAAAAACACGATAATCAAACAAAGCTGGAAAGTGAATAAAAAAGCAAGTAACGTGAAATCAAACGTAAACTCCAAAACTGAAAAATAAAAGTCTGACATAAAAAAATGATAATTTTTTTATAACTGCCGCAACTTGCGGTGACCCCTTTCGCCGCCCATAAGCTTCTGCGTTAACCGGTTGTTGACATTACTTTACGGTAGGCTTTTCCTGTTAAATTTTTCGAGAGTTTGCGAAATCTTATTTTCAAATACGCGTCCTTTTTTAAAGTTTTGAATGAGTAAAGGTGCTGGTAATGCTGCCAAGTTTACAGCAAAGCAAATTAGCCCAGAAATAAATTTTCTCTTTCGTGACGTCATTTGGCAATACCGGCCCCCAAGTTTTGTTTACGCAAAAGGCGTACGCCCGCAACGTCCATTATACGTCAAATTTTATCGCTAGCCGTAGCTAGTTTTCTAACCATTTCTTCAGCTGTGTTTACAGCCCGCCACGGTCACAGTAATAATATAAGCTCGCTGATGTAACTACGCTGAAATTACTACGCGGTGCCAGGCACTATGACTACGCAAACGTAGTTTGTTTACATTCCTGACTTCCTGTGCAGTCAAATAAGGACATCTGCAAATGCCAGACAGCTTAGCTTTTCCGGCAGGCGGTGGGGTTGCCACTGCGACAGAGGGTGTTTAGCACCCGAGACCATATGGCTTTGTTGTGTAGAATTTGTAAGGGTAGTCTTTTTTTAGAAGCAGTAGTTTAGCCATATGTGTCCTGTCAAGGACGATTTTCGGGTTGGGTGTTTCGATATAAATGAGGCCGCTTTTCAAGTTCTCTGACGAAATGATTTTGGATTTGAAGTTATCGGATGGGGGAGGTAGGTATTTGCTGGTGATTGGTGGTTTTGTGAAGCATAGTGTGCTGTGGGTATATAAAAGGAAATCGGAGTGCGGTGGAAATTTAGTTGGTTAAGGGAAGTTGTGAGAAGTTTGTTGTGTGGATTGTGTTGTAAGCTCTTATTTGATAGTAAAGGTTGTTGTAGTAAGGTGGAGAGTGATTTGGAGTGCCTGGGAACAGGTGTTTGAAGGGATTTTGGCAGATTTGTAACAAGTAAGGAATATTTGTTTATAGTGAAATTTTTTAAATTATTGTTAATTTTTTAATGTATTAAAATGTCAATCCTTTAATTCAGCAACAGTACAAGTACAGTGAAGTGCGATGATAGCAGGACAAAGACAACGTGTAACATTCGTAAATCTACCGAACATTAAAGACAGTCAGACAAAACAATATCAGCATAAAACTCAGAATCTCCACACGCCACACCAACTAGATCACTGGTTGAATGGCGAAAACGCGCCGAAGCGCTTTGGGGTAATACTCGCCCCAGGTCCCATCGGGCATGACACACAGAGACTCCGAATTCACACCTCCATGTCCCATCCACCCATCCAGAGGGTTCGGGAGATCCACTCCACGGTCCAATGTGAGCGAAACGACAGCTTCCAGAATGAACATCCATGCGTCCCCGAAAACAGAAAACACAGAGCCCCCGAACGCTGCACCAACTAGGTCACTGGTTGAACGGCGAAAACGCGCCGAAGCGCTTTGGGTTAATACTCGCCCCAGATCACATCGAGCACAACATTCAGAAACTCCAGGCTCCCCACCCTCAGGCCGCATGAATCCGGAATGTGAAAATGACGTATGCAAGCGACGGCAAGTCTCGGAGTCAGCGCGGCTCCCGAGCGCACATCCACGGTTTCCAACCTCACCGTTCCCAAAAGCAAAAACAGCAGAATTCCCGAACGCTGCACCAACTAGGTCACTGGTTGAATGGCGAAAATGCGCCGAAGCGCCTTGGGTTAATACTCGCCCCAGATCACATCGAGCACAACGTTCAGAAACACCGAGCTTCCCGCCAACAGGGCCGACGAAGTCTTCTCCGCGGGATGAATTCAGGAACCGATTCAACTCCATGATATGAGAGACGGATGAACAAAGCGAATCAGATCCACCAGATGAGTATGGCGAAGTGAGATGTTTACACGGGTGCTAGAGAGCCTCCAGTGGCGGATGCTGGCAGAACCCGACCGTGAAAGCGCTCAGGACTTGTCCCTGCCAATCTGGCGTTAACCAGAATGGCAGGGCTCAGTTTACCACACAAAAATATCCGCAAAAACAAAATGACAACACAGGAAATTCAAAAGGACTCTAGACAAAGACTGTCTAGAGGAAAAAAAAGAAAAATATGTATGTAAATTAAAATTGTATTACGCATTTCTGCATTACGCATTAATGTATTTGGTTTCTTAAGTTAAATAGATTAAGAGATATTAAGGAATAAATAGAGTATTGGTTAGCTTTTGACTTTATGGCAGTGTGGTTTAAAAGGAGAGTTTTAAAAAGGTTAGTGTTAAGAAGGTTAGTTTTAAGGAGGTTAGTTAATTTTTTCTTGCAATTTTATACAGTTATCTGTATATTCGAATGTTTATTGTGTAGATGCTGTTCAGAGTACGTTTATAAAGTAGGAAAACTAGGTGTGCATTGGCAGACCGGAGCGTAGCAGCTTTTCGCTTGTGTGAAAGATAAATAATTTTTAACGTGCTACCAGTAACACTTTCAGTATTTAACATTATCAATAACTTAACCTAAGAATATAACGAGCCAGGAACATTTTCGTAATGACCTTTGGTAACAACCTTTCGTAACGAACACAGATACATTTTTGGATTGGCGTTGAACTTAGAGGACTTTCGGTACGATTTAAGAAAGGGAATTGATTTGATTCTACGAAGGATTTATTTAAATGTTATATCATCATTTAGTTTTAGACTGTCAAAAAAAGTTGGAAATGAGTGATTTGGATAGGCGGAAGTTAAAATGAAAATCATTTTAAGGTATAGTGAGTTTATTAATAGGGTGGTAGAAATAATATTTATGAGGTTAATAAATGATGAAAGATATTATGTAAGAAAAGGAAAATATGGAATATATGAAGGAAAATAGAAAATATATTACGGAAAATATGGAAAAGAATATTGTGGTAAAAATATAGAAAGAACAAGTGGCATTAAAGGAAATTTATTTGGCATTATGGAGTTTATGTTGTGTAGATATTGTAGTTGATAAAATCGAATTGAAGAAACAGGTGGATGTAGTGTTCCGTATGGTTTATTGTATAGTATATGGTGCGTATAATGTACTGTAAAGTTGACTGGTTTTATGGTTTGAATCTGGGTATATTATGGAGTAAATATAGTTATGGATGAATGATTATGTGTGTGGGAAAAAGATATTTTGAAGAAACAGGTGGGTGTAACGATCCTTATGATGTGAAGTCTGTTCACTGTTGTATTTAGGGATTTTTATTTTACTAAAGCTGCTAAATATTTTGAAGAAACAGGTGGGTGTAGCGTTCCGCATCATTCAGTATTTTAGGGTATTTTGATTCGTTTTGAGATTGGCAAGTGAAGTTGGAGTTATGAGAGAAAGGTGGGAGCAATGTTCCATTTAGTGGTTTACAAATGTTCTATTGTAGAGTAAATTCGGAAAATTTGCAGAACATGATTTTATGGTATTTAATAATAAATTTTATTTTGATAGATGAAATTCCAGGAAGTGCTATGGATATTGTTGTCACCGACGACAATACAACCGTATTGCAGCCTGAATCCAGCAAACGATCTGCTGGTAAGAAATTAAATATAATTATTTATTTTAAATTTATTTTTTCTAAATTTATTTATTTACCATTTATTTGTTTATACAGGAACTCCGAAGAAACGAAATAAATGAATGGAATAGCATGAACCGTTGGTTTTACTTTGAGATGGACCAATCGTTTTCATTTTTGTTGTTATTTGAGTGATTCATCAATTTATTAGCGCCATTGTACCATTTTATCTAAGTGCATTAAAGTTATCTGTGGTATTATTATCTGATAGTGGTGGTGCGGTATTATTATCTATGTGATGTAATTATGTTGTATTACTCGTTTAATACTTGTAAAGTTTGTATCTTAGTATTTTTCTTATACTGAACTACACTTTTATTTTGTTATTTTGTATTGGTTTTGTAGTACAGTAATTAACTTTTAAAAATACCAATAAATAAAGGACGAAAAAAATAAGGCAATTTCTTTGTTTTCAAGTTTGAGTAGATCATAATATTTTATAAATATGCGACCTACTGAGTTCAAGTAACAACTTACTTGTAGCTGAGAACCTTTGATAATTATCATGGTACGAGTACAAAATATGCATTAGAACAAAACGGTCTTAACGAAAAGAACAGTTGTATTATGCTATCTTGATCGGGAATCATACAGATTACAAAATCTGAAAGTCAGCTGATGTGTGGTAACAATAAGCGAAAGTAAAATTAAAAATTAAGATGTGTAAATTTTAAAATATGCGCCCAACTGCGCCCAACCAACAGTTACTGCCAGCTCGTAGGAAGGCGCAGTTAGAGTCAGGTGTGTGTTATAAGTATGCGCCCAACTGCGCCCAACCAACAGGTACTGCCAGCTCGTAGGAGGGCGCAGTTAGAGTCAGGTGTGTGTTATAAGTATGCGCCCAACTGCGCCCAACCAACACTTACTGCCAGCTCGTAGGAGGTAGCAGTTAGAGTCAGGTGTGTGTTATAAGTATGCGCCCAACTGCGCCCAACCAACACTTACTGCCAGCTCGTAGGAGGGTGCAGTTAAGAGTCAGGTGTGTGTTATAAGTATGCGCCCAACTGCGCCCAACCAACACTTACTGCCAGCTCGTAGGAGGGTGCAGTTAGAGTCAGGTGTGTGTTATAAGTATGCGCCCAACTGCGCCCAACCAGCACTTACTGCCAGCTCGTAGGAGGTGGGATTTAGAGTCAGGTGCATGTTATAAATATGCGCCCAACTGCGCCCAACTGACATTTACAGCCTGCTCGTAGGCGGTAGTATTTAGAATAAAGTGTACGTTATAAATATGCGCACTTCCTTTATCTTCTATTGTTAGGATAGGAGATTTACTGTTGAAGCGCACTTCGTTTCCGGAAGTACGATTACGGACGGAAGAATACTAGCATGGTGCTGCTCAGCGTGGCTCTTCCAATGTGCTAGAACATGGAAGGTCATAACGTTTACTAATTGTTTACTAATTTGTGACTAATTTTTGGAAATCGAACCGTCAGGATTTCTGGAATACGACAGTTTGGCTTTTTACAGTTTAAACTTTAAATAAGTCTCTTTCTCATACTGGGAGAAAAATCTTAAAAGTAAGTATCTTTCGACCGGACAGGACTACGTCCGTGCTTTTGTACGATGTCCTTACTCATTATTGGCAGGAATGACTTAAAAACAGTGGTTTGAACAGAAATTGTTAAGCGATCCGAAATTGTCAGTTCCCCAACCAAGTTCTAATGTAAAACCCACTGTACAATAATGGCCACTGGTCCACTTGTAACTTATCACTTGCGCTTACGAAATACCAACAAATAAGGAAAAAAATTTAAGTAGCGGAATAAAAACAACTTTTCTTGTCAAATGTCAATGTTAACAGATATGAGTACGCAGGGACTACACTCGGGCTGTGCAGTGTGCAAGTAAATTTACGCAACGAGTGCGCCACAGGCGGACCCATTTCCGCCCCGGCGGTGCTTGTGACCAGGTTTGTTTCTTTTCACATATCATTTTCTTTTACGGCATTATTCCTGTTGTATCGCCTGCCACTTGGCCGCCTCCCCCGAGGTGGCCGCCCGTTAGGTGTCTTACTTACCTGCTGAATCAAGCCGACATTTTCATTCGACGCTGCATCTCGAATCCATTCGTCCACGATACTTTCAAAAGCGCTTATAGTTATGGGCACATGCGATGGCAAGGCGCTTACTAAACATGTGGTGCTGGCGAAATTGAGTGGTGGTACGTTGTTCTGTGGAGCCATTGTTGTGGTTTGGAGCTTAAAACAAATAATACGAGTATTGTTTCCGTTTGTAATCGAGCTTGTGACCCCTCCGCGCTCTCCCTAAGCTTGACGAATCGATGACGTGATTGATGATATGTTGATGCTTTGAGCAGAGCTTCAAGATCCGTGATAACATTCTTTGACAATGGCAATTCCAAACTGAACCCAACATGGATCCAGAAACACCCACTCGTGTTTCCAGCGTGGATGTTATTACAAAACCTGTAACAAATGCTCACGATCCCGTTGTTGATCCTATCCAAGATCTGACTGCTACAAACGAAAAAGAAGAGGCCGTTCGGGAGTTTATGGAAACTGAGAAACTTGAACCGTTTGACACTGACAACCCTTACGCAGCACCTGCAGATGTGGAAAATGTGGATGCAACTGACCAAGTTGCTCCGCATGATGTGGAGAAAGCTTATCTGGAAGAGCGAGCGGTTCTCGACGCCTCTCTCCCGGGCTAGGCAACATTAGGAAAAATCCTCAGTGCAGATGATTCTGTATCCAAATCCCCCTCACCCAGTCTTCGAGGATCTAAGGAACGAGTGCGGTATCAGGAAAAACGAGTGCTTCTCGATGAGCATGCGCAAAAGCAGGTGAAAAGTGGGCCCACACCGTTGCCTCTCGTCGTTTCCACCGGTAAACAGGCTTGGCTGCTTTAGCGATTCGGAGATGTATCGGTAATATTCCGTTGGTTGGCTGTTTTTATAGAAAGTGCAAGAACGACAGACAGTATCCATTTGGTTAGATGGTGGCTTTATTTGGCGGAGGTTTTTGGTCGTTGGGTAAGAAAGCGCGTCTTATTGACTTCTGGGCGCGATGCGAGATACTTGATTGTGACGCGCCAGTTTGTTACGTCCAGATCCAGAGAAAACAGCGCTTTCATAACCTTTGACGTTTGAGCAATTGACAAATAAAAACATAATGCTAAATAGCAACAATGCTTTTTAGAACATACAATTGCGATCAATTCTGAAAAATTGAAAATTTGGCTCGCGTGCACGATAGCTGATAGTTCGCGGAATGTAGCATTGGATCATGTCAATTTAATTAATTAATTTTTAAGGGCATCTTTCTTTCTAGGGTGATCGAATGTGGAAATTTACGGCGGCGCTGTTTTTGTTGGAACTTTTCCCCGGATCTATGCTGCTTCCGGCAATACATGGATTTGTCACAGGATCATGTGTTATATTATTTGGATCATCCATTGGAGAGTGGGTGGATGCGACAGCTCGGTTAAGAGGTGCATTTTATGTTTAACACTATAACAGGCTTGTTTACGGTTAGGTACAGTTACTACAGTACGTAAATTATGTTTACGGCTTTATGGTAGTTTTGCTTTGTAAGTTGCGCGAAAGCTTTTGTGAACAACTGGCAGTTCTAGTGAATGCTTTTCGGTTCGAGTGTGAATCCATTATGCAAAAATTGACCTTCTGAATCTCTTTCAGCGGTGCGGACTGCTCTGTTCATTCAGAATACGAGTACATGTGTAGCTTGTGGATCGTTGATACTAACGTTTGCCTTTCTGTATCGTGAGGAGATGAGCAGTGATGGGCGAATATTTTGCGTGGTTGACTTTCTGGTGTTTGCTGTGATTGTGCAAGTGTGGTACGTCGAAATAGTGAATGGATCATGATGAGACGAATGCACTCTTCAAATTCATTGCTGATTTTTGGTTATTATTCTGTTGTAGGGAATGAACATAATTATCGAAAAAGACTGGGTGGTGGTAATCGCGGGTGGCAACAAGAAGGGACTAGCAGGTAAAAAAAATTTGTATATTAATTGTGGGCCTGAATTTATGTGCTTTTCGGGCAAATGTTTCTTCCTTTGCACAAATTAATTGATTATCCTTTCTCAGATTTGAATGCTACAATTCGTCGAATTGATTTAACTTGTCAGATTCTCTCTCCCATCATTATCGCCCAAATCATGACGTTTAGCGAGCATTATGTCGGCACGATTGTGGTATCTGTTTGGAATGTGTGCTCCATGATTATTGAATATGCAATTTTAATGAAAAATTATCGAAGAGTGCCTCGTCTATCATTCAAGCCTTTACCATCTCCCAGCGAAAAGGTGAAGAAGTACCTATCACGAAAATTGTTTAAGTCTTGTTTTGCAATTCACGACGGGTGGAAGACGTACTTCCGAACGCGAGTATGGCCGGCTGGAGTCGGATTAGCTTTCCTTTATATGACTGTACTGGCTTTCGGTGGAGTAACCAACACCTACATTCGGACACAGGGCTTATCGGAATCTGTGATTTCGGTGATGATTGCACTCGGGGCAGCTGTAGGAATTGCCGGCACTTTTGCATTTCCCACGATGTGGGCCAAGTTCGGACTTGAACGAACAGGATTACTTGCGCTCGGTGCTCAGCTGATTTGCCTAATGTTTTGTGTTTTATCTGTATGGTTACCCGGCAGCCCGTTTGACCCTTACTTTTATTCGAAAAGTAGCAACGAAACGGTGCTTCAACGAGCTGAAGGTAATCGTAATGCTACCGGAATCGATGAAAAGAAATGGTTCACTAAATCATCAGATGAACTTCCTTCCGTTGTTGTATTCCTGTTCGGAATGATTGCGGCACGTTTCGGGTAAGAAAGTGAACCATAGAAATATTGTTGAATAAAACACGATGATCTGTTTTGCTTCTTAGTTTATGGATGGCTGATCTTACCATTACACAGCTCATACAAGAAAATGTTCCTGAGAAGGAGAGGGGAATTATTGGCGGTGTGCAGAGCTCCTTTAACCGGTTCATGGACATGTTAAAATTCGTTTTAGTGATCTGTCTGCCAAATCCCCAAACATTTGGCTTTTTGGTCATTACTTCCTTCGCATTTGTTGCGACTGGCCATATTTTCTACGCATATTTTGCTGTCAGATCTGGTCGACAAGCTCGGTTGCGCTCGGTACCGGTTGTTGTGGTCACTCGCGATAACCAGCAATCTCCACCCCTCCTACCAAAGAGTGCCCCTCAAAGCGCCTGATCTCCTTTTTTGTTGGTTCTTGTGTATTGTACGGTTATTGTTGCAGTATTGCCTTTGCAATGTGACCCTTTTTAGATTGAATAGCTTTTAAGAGTTCTTCGTACATTATCGGTTTCTGTGATTCTTTTCCGCGTGAATATATGAGTGCAGTTATTTTGTTAGTTTATTTTACTGTATGACAGCTTGTGCTGATTTTGAGGTTACATAGATGGAACTATTCTGTTGATATCTGTAGATACGATCCATGCGATCTGCACTGGGACGCAAGTAGAAGTGTTACTTAGTAAAAAATATATGTCAATTACCCAGATTCAGATCTATATTGCCACGAATGGGATACACCAGAGCTGGCAAACAAGACTGACCAAAACCAATATTATATTCTGAAAGCCTGTAGTCTAAAACCCGGCCAGATAGTATTCATTTCTTTCAAAACCTCTCCCGTTTCGAACGCCAAAGCGGAAGAATTTTGACTACTGTCAGCGGCGGCAGCCTGCGCCTGGTGCGTACGGTCCACACAGGACGTACTTGCACCCATTGCATGCCGCTATCGCCTCTCTCGCTGTACGTACGTGTGCTGCTGCTGCACTGACTCATCCGCTGAAGCGGATATACGCAGCGCACACCAGTGTTGGCCCGTTTTTTGACGGGACCGGAAAATTACGGGAAAGTCTCCCGTTCCGTTACCCGTTTCCGTAGAAAAACGGGAACGGGTCAGACGTCTTACGGAACGGAACCGGCCGGGAACTGAACGGCTGTTCTTACGGGAAAATTCCCGTTCCCGTTTCCGTTGATAAAAAAAATTTACAGATGAAAATTACGAAATCACAGTCATGTTATGAATATACGACTGCCTAATGGCTGATGTAGTTAGGGTAGGTCTCAGATTGGAAGCGAATCTAGAGATGATCCAGCAATTCCCACCTCGCGAGGTGCCTTCGCGTACCGTATCTGTAGGCGCGGTCACTGCAAACAGCCACCTCGGGCGGTTAAGCAACCGTACCATAGCGAGATTCGCGTCGAATCTGAGGCCCACCCTTAGCATTTACGGTAAGTACTAACTGTACGCAAGTATTAGTAGACCCTGTACACTGAAGCTGGCTGAAATAGTAGGGGCTGAAAAACCCGAGCTTTTTACATGTTAGCAACCCGGTATCTTCTGCTTTATATAATTAAAATAATTGTGATACTAGTACAAACCGATTCAATGAAAACTAAAATTGTTGAAACTAGTAGAATGCATGTAAGATTCGCCTCGCACACCGTCCTCTTCCTGTTGATCCTTTTGTGTTTGTTTGAACATTTATTGGCATTTATCAGTTTATGGATCATCAGAAGTGACAGGGCAAGTTTTTACTACGAAATGTAGTGATCTCTGTAGGTAATTTTAATTTTGTTAGGAAGTGAGCAAAATATGAGAAAATCGAAGTATTTAGTCTGCTCATTAAAAGCTGTTCGTGGCCGCAAGTTTTTAATTTTGCTGTACATTATCTTCTGGATACTGTTCATTTCTGCACCAGAGTTTGCACGGGGTCTACTAATCAATATTATCAGGTCCGTCGCGAGGGAAAAAACGGAAGGAAAAAAACGAGAAAATGGTGCGCCGGAAGCTAGCGTAATTGGCGCTGGCTCAAAAAAATCGAACTGGCGTTGGCGCTTTGGCTGGCGCACCGAAAATAACAATAGAAAAGCGCAGAAAAGTGCGTTTTTTGAGCCGCTTTTCTACGATTTTTTTGAATTTTTGAGCCATTTTCGAACTGGCGCGCGACCGCGCGCTCCCCCTATCATCGGACTTCGCGACGGCCCTGAATATTATTATCCGTGCAAGCCGACTGTTGATTGCCTTTTACAAGCAGGTTTTGGAATTACAGTAATAATAGTATACCTAAACTAAAACCGCGGAAAATTTTTTTTGTAATTTTTTATTTCAAATTTTTTCGAAAAATTTTAAAAACGGGCACCGGGCCGGGAAACGGCGGCGTTTTGGTAAACGGTACGGTAAACGGTACGGGAAGGCCGGCTAACGGGACGGTAACGGGCCGGGAGCCGAAATTTTGAAACGGGCCAACACTGGCGCACACACTGAGCTGTATTGCTCTCTCGTTCCTCTCTCGCAGTACTACTCAGCGTTCATACGCTCGCGTTGGATAGAGTCCAGTCTGCGCATCATCACACCGCTGATGGCACACAGCACGTGGTTGCCGCCAGCATTCTCCAACGCCTTGGCAGACGCTCAAAAACCCGACCAAATAAATTTTTGGCCGACTAAGAATGATCTGTTTCGCTTACGAAAATAGCGCGAAAATTCTTCGAACTTCCTTGTGACGTCCGAACGACCGATTTTCAGTACTTAAACGTCGGCCAATCAGCGTGCAGGGGAAACTTCCCATACGCTTAACATAGGCGTGAGTCATCATTTGTGTAACTTTTGCACGCGGCTCGCTATCTGTGACGTAGGCAGATAAGTGCAAGACCACTTGACCCTGTGACGTCATACTGGTCAGCACAGTAGTATAGGCCGTACCATACTGTACTACTATTACGTACTGTACTGTACCATAGTACTGTATATTAACCCTGTGTACTGAGTCACCAACAGACACAACAAACAACAATAAGCCGGATAGTCCTGACACTCGGAAGTTCCAGAACCAAAAGACGTTCCTAATCTCTCCGAACATCTTCACACAGAAGATTGTTCGACTTGTTTTTCCTAACTGATAAAACCTTTAAGGCTTCATCAGAGCCGACCTGGTTCGACCACAATGTCGAATCCCAGGGAGAACGAATACGCTAGGAAGTTGAACACCGATTACTCCCGGCGTGCAACAGCAACCACTGCGTACTCACTCCGGTACGCTGGTCAAGAACGAAGTCAGCCTTCCTCAACCGACTCGACTAAGTCGGCCGAAGCAAGGGAAAAGCGCAACGAGCGGATCCTCCTTGCCGACTCGAATCCAACCTCGGATGACAGTTTTGAGGAAGCCAGGGACAAAACATTCCTGGACACCCGAGCTGACCTAGCAGCCCCGTCCCACCCGACCGGGGGGGATGTGGAACAGCTGCAGGCAGAGACCACATTGTCTCATGCCGACCAACAGTCGAGCTCACACAGAGCTCAAGACTCGGTAACGGCAACAAAAGCCACCGAGTTCGGACGGAAATCACCCAACTCAAAGGGTGAGCAACCGAAGTCGACCTTGTCCAACATTGGCGAGGCGGCTAAGGAGGTCGGTCGGAAATCGCTAATCTCCGGAGTCGGACAACAGTTGCCGACCACGACTGGACCAGAACAGCTGACAACAGAAGTCGGCAAAGTCCAACCGACCACACAGGTCGGAAGGATTTCGCCAACCTTGAAGGTTGGTCAACAGCGACCGACCACAGAGGTCGGTCAAAAGGAGGTCGGACATCCGAAGCCGACCAACCCAGAACGGCAACCACCCGACACAAAGTCGGATGCGGCCGTCCAGCCGACCAAACTACTGACCGGAACGGAAGATTCCGAGGTACCGCCACGAAGCGGCCCTCACCCAGCCGGATCGCCGACTACCATACCGGCACCCAATGAACGAGTTATTTTGCCGTTGAGCTGACCTTCGCCAAACGGACGCGAGTCGACTCGAGCAACCGAAGCTCAACAAACAGTGAAGTCGACCAAGGCGACACAAAGTCGACCTGTCGACCCGACAACCAGGTCGTCACCAACAGTAAAGTCGACTAAGGCGACACAAAATCGACCTATCGACCCGAACATAAGGTCGTCACCACTGATGTTCGAACCTGGCAAACTCGGTAGCACTCCGTCACCGACAGACGAGGTCTGCGGCACAACAGAAATGTCACGACCGAGCAGTGCGGACGGATTTTTCACAACACCACTGAAGTCCAACAAGGATAGCCTCGGCTACCAAGCCAGCTTACTCGAATAAACGGCGAAGAAGTGGATGGCGGCTACACCGCCTGAAAAGATCGACGACATCGACCGACTCCGCGCAAGATGCCGTAAACTGATCACACAGATAGTTTTAGCAGACCAAATTGTCGACTCAGCGGAAGGTTCGATTCGAAATTCGGAAGACACCCACAAACTCGAACGGAGGAGGTGGGAACGAAATATGGCCGATGCTAACAAAGACATCGCCACCCAACAACGGGAAATCAACCGGCTCAACACCATACTGAAGCGTACCGACCAACCGTGTCGATACGACATCAATGAAGTAACTACATTTAAAGGCATGCTGGATCGATCTATGAATGCGGTCCACGAGTTAAACCGAGAACTCGCCGAGTCGCACAAAGCACTCGAAGAGGCACAGAAGGATTTGGCCGATGTGCAAACAGTAAGGATGGTAATATCCAATATCCAAAAGTGTATCCAAAGCTTGAATATCCAAATATCATATCCATATCCCGAGCTGTCTGGAAAGATATGGATATTTGGTGGATACGTTGGATACAAAGATATAGGTGGATATTGACGGATATGAGACAGATCCGTTTTATACGAATATATTTTTTTCCAGAAAAGACAGTTAGAAATTACATTGCAATACATGCTTCGACTTTTCTTAATTAACAACTGATCAGCTTGATTGAATATTTTAAAAACGGATCACCCGATTATTCAACTATTCTGATAGTAAGTACAAAAATTTCAAGAGCAACTAGTAGAAACCAATATTATCTGAGGTTGTATACCGGTACAACGTCAGATGATATTGGTGTCTCCGCAAAAATACACATAGATCATAGATGTGCAAATCACAAGGATTGATTTCTCGCTTAAACAAAATTTTTGGATTAAAAACTAGGAGCCATTGCACAAAGGCTTGCATAGGAACTACGATTAGCATGTGCTCGACGTAAGGTTGAAATGACGGCCACGCCAAATAATAAATTCTGATATTTTTTACTACTGAATTATTGGAATACGTGGGGGATCCGTTGTTCAGGTCTTCAAGATGTACAGCTAAACTTATCCGTTGTCGAGAAAAGTCGAAGTATGTACAGATATAATCAGTGTATTTCTTGTTTCCTTCTAATATCTAACTTTGGCGTTGATTGTTAGTGTGTTGTATGATGCTTTTATTTTAATATTTAGGCTTTTTTAAAGCAATTTCATAAAAAAAATAAGTTATTGGATATATCTGGATAGAAATGATATATCCAAGATATTTCTGGATATATCCGGATAATTTTTGGATATATCCC